AAGGTAGGGTAATCCCAACATTACATCCAATGTGGGATACTTAACACTCCCCCCTCGAGATGATAATCTCGAAAATACATACAGGATCCAAACCCAATACGGACACCATGGCTCTGATACCATGTTAAGACGGGGATTCGGGGTTCCAACTTAAAACCAATTGGTTGTAAGTGGAGTAGCCCTTCACGCCTTATAAGGTAGGGGAATCCCAACATTACATCCAATGTGGGATACTTAACACTCCCCCATCGAGATGATAATCTCGAAAATTCATACAAGATCACTTGAACATGCTTGAAATTGAGCATTCTGGTAAGGAATTTATTAACCTTTACACCTTCTATGATGATTGCGTGTGGATATTAGACTCAGGTGCCACTTGTCATGTGAGCAATGACCTTTTTCATTTTAAGCACCTAAAAATCTTGAAGGAACCAACTAAGGTCCACTTGCCTAATGGGACAATGCAGATTGCTAGTCACACAGGAACTATTGAACTAAATCAGTTGTTCACTCTTTATGATGCTTACTATATACCAGGCTTTAAGTATTGTTTGATCTCTGTGCATCAGATGTGTCTTGACTCTAGCTTATATGTGAATTTTATGGCTGATTCATGCTCTATTCAGGACCCGATAAGCAGATGTGAGATTGGAAAAGGAAAGCTAAAGGGGCATGATGACTCCAAATATAAGCATATCCTTAGCTCGACGAAACTGTGTATTACTTGAATTTATGTATAAAAACCATCATAATAACCCATTAATGGCATACATTATTGATTTATATCGCTTGGTATGATCCAGATTCCGTTGTTGAGATTATTAACGATTTTTGCCCTTTTTAAGCGGTAGTCTAGTGCCAGAAAAGCTAAGGCATGAGAGGCAAGCGGTAGCTTCCACAGCTCGCAAGCGATAGCCTCTCCCACTTGCAAGCGACAACCCAGACACATATCGCTGCAGATTATCGCCAGATTTCAATTAAGTGTTCCAACTGCAGCGGTACAGCTATTTCATTTCCAGCCAGCACAAGCGAGCCTAGCTGCGCTGATGCCCTTCAGCTCTCTGGCAAACGAGGAAGATCTGCGCCATTGCAATTCAATGCAATCAAATCAAGCGCCCTGGGAGTTACGGCCAACAACTGCTTCAACAGAATAACTACCAGCAACCGCCTAACTGCCCAACGATTGGAACCGCGAGCAACTGATTGCAACTGTCCCATTTAACCTGCTATAAATAGGGTCAGATATCTCTATGTAAAACAAGATCGATACTTTGATTTTGATATACTGCTAGCAATTACTTTCTGCACTCAAGTCGTCTTCTTGTCGCCGAGAACTCCAACCCTGTAAGGGAGTTCTCCACAGGAATGGCCAAGGGAATGGGGATTTCCCTCCTCCCTTGGCCAAGTCTTTACCGTTTTCTTAGATTAGATTACTGTTTTCTTTTACATCTTTGTAGTTCTAGTCCTTCCTGCTTTAGTAGTAATTAATGAAATATTGTTCATTTCTTCATACTCATTTCTTCCACACTTATATAAACTTTGAATTTAGAGAACTTCATTTTACTGTGCCACTCGCTCATGTCCCGTTCACTCGGTAACCGCCATTCATCCATGTCCCGTCCATTCGGTTCCCGCTCCCGATCATCTGGTTACCACTGGCACTTCATACTCCGTCCTCGCTTCCGCTCATTCACTCTTACCGCTTTATTTACTGCTTTCAATATATTAGAATTTTTGCAGCGGATCCCTTCCTGCTATTCCGGTTGTTTTTTCAAGATCTTCACCTGTGAAATTCATGACTTAAAATCCTTGTGTTCGACCTGTAAACTCACCAGTAAAAAGAGTATAAATAATTGTGATAACTACTCAGGGTCTACAACCACATGATTTACTATATCTGATCGCCTTCTCTATAACCATTCACTCACTGATTTTCGAATATAAATTCCCTGTGGATTTGTAAAACATACAAAAACAAATTTTGGTTATCAGGGCATCTTTACTACCTAAGTCTGAATCTCCCACAAAAAGGTTATGGTTGCTGGTGATGAAGTTCCTTGGCACTCTATGCTTGGACATCCATCCAATAAAGTGTTAACACACTTGTCTAAACCTGTTTTAGTTGATATTCCTTGTGATGCCTGCCACTATGGAAAACAAAGGAAACTTTCATTGAATAATAGTCCTTCTCATGCTAATTCTTGCTTTGATCTAATTCACATTGATATATGGGGCCTCTACAACTTGCCATCATCAAATGGTAGTAAATATTTTTTGACAATTGTTGATGATCATAGCATAAGCATTTGGACTTATTTATTGAGATTAAAATCACGTGTTGTCACTGTATTCTCTGTTTTTATTAAAATGGTGCAAGCTCAATATGGAACCAAGATCAAAATTGTCAGGACAGATAATGGATCTGAGTTCTTAAGTCATACCTTCCAAAATTTAATTCGTGAAAATAGAATTTCCCACCAAAGGATATATGTTTATCGACCGCAACAGAATGGAAGAGTTAAGCGGAAACATCAGCACATCTTGGCAATGATGAGATCTTTGTTGTTTCATGCACACTTACCAGATAACCTGTGGGGAGAGGCTCTTCTTACAGCAACTTACATCATCAACTTACTCCATAATCATGTGATAAATTGAAAATCACCTTACCAGGTACTGCGTGGTTCTAATCCCAACCTTGAACACTTACGGGTGTTTGGATGCTTGTGTTATGCTTCCAATACAAATCCTTCAATGACAAAATTAGGAAAATAGGTTGTTAAGGGAATTTTTGTGGGATATGAACCTGGCACAAAAGGTTACAAGGTGCTTAACCTTGAAACAAGGAAGATACTAATCAGTAGAGATGTCTATGAACATTTGTTTCCAGGCTTGATTCAGAACTCTATCCCTCATCCTAATTCATATCGGGGAGAGCTTTTGCCTATGTCAAAAGTGCTAGTTGAAGGAGATCAAAACAGAGATACTTCTTTGCCAAAATCTTCAATTCCAACTTCCATTTCAAGTACTGAGGAAGGGGCAACCGATGGTGATGATGATCTTCCTATGCCAGAATCTGCAATTCCAACTTCCACTCCAAATACTGAGGAGGGGGCAACAGATGGTGATGCTGACCTTCCTACTGAATGTTCAAGCTCATCCAATGATATCATCTCAGAAAATGTTAAAAATGATGGTAAAAACATCTTTGTTACTCCTTATGAGTGGCTAAGTAGAGCTCACAGAACAATAAACATGCCATGTTGGATGAAAGATTATGTTTATGCTTGTGCCACCATTGAGATGGAGTAGAAGAGCCTCTTACTTATTCAGAAGCAGTAAAGAAAAGAGAATGGATAGAAGCAAAGAATGAAGAAATTAAGGCTTTGGAAACTAATGACACTTGGGAACTATCCTATCTACCCAAAGGAATGAAGGCAATAGGAAGCAAATGGGTTTACAGGATAAAACAGAACAAAGATGGATCCATAAGTAGATTCAAAGCTAGATTGGTTGCAAAGGGTTATCTACGAGTGCATGGGATCGATTATGATGAGTGTTTTGCACCCGTGACCAAGAGTGTGACAGTCAGACTTGTGCTCTCCATAGCTGCTTCAAAAGGTCGGAATATCCAACAGATGGATATTAATAATGCTTTTCTCCATGGTACATTAGAAGAAGAATTGTATCTCAAACCACCGCCGGGTTATCACATTAAACCGGGGCAGGTATGTAAACTAAAGAAATCCCTTTATGACTCAAACAAGCACCTCGTGTGTGATATAAAACTCTTACTAAAAAAGTGGTTCAATTTGGATTCATCCAATCAACTCACGATCATTGCCTCTTCATAAAGCATGTTGGGGGTGATCTTTTGATTTTGATAGTCTATGTCGATGACATTCTTTTGACAGGCTCATCTACTGATCTTATTCATGAAGCCAAGGTGTTCTTGCACGATGCTTTCACTATCAAAGACTTGGGAGAGGCAAGTTACTTTCTTGGGATAGAACTTACACAGCTACAGAATGGACTGGCTCTCTCCCAAAGGCAATACATCTTTGACATATTGGAGGATATGAAGATGTTGGATGCAAAATCAGTTTCCATTCCTTTACCAGCATGATTAAAATTATCTGCTCTTGATGATGATAAACTTTCAGATCCTTCTCCATATAAAAGACTCATTGGCATATTATTGTACTTGAATTTTTCCAGGCCTGACATTGCTTTCGCAACTCAACAGTTAAGCTAATTCATGGACAGGCCCTTATCCTCACACTGGAAGGCAGCCCTTCATCTGCTTCAATATCTCAGAGGGACTATGAATTATGGACTCATATTTGATTTCAGCTCAGCATTGCAACTAAAAGCATTCTGTGATGCTGATTAGGGCACCTGCCCTGACTCCCGGAAGTCTATAACCGGTTATTGTATATATATTGGATCTAATCTCATCTCATGGAAAACTAAGAAACAACCAACCGTGAGCACTTCCTCTACTGAAGCCGAATACAGAAGTATGTGCACTACAACGTGTGAATTGCTTTGGATCTCTTACCTACTTGATGCTTTGAAGGTGCCTATTTTATTACCTATCCCGCTTCATTGCGACAATCAGTCTGCACTTCATATTGCAAGAAATCCAGTCTTTCATGAGAGAACGAAGCACATTGAAATAGCATGCCATCTGGTATGACATTACTATCTGCATGGATTCATCTCTTTAGTTCATGTGAGGAGCAAGCTTCAAATTGCGGATATTTTCACTAAAGCTCTATGTGGACCGACTTTTAAAAATATTCGGACCAGACTTTGTATGAACACCCTGGGTCGAGAGGAGGGTGTCAAGCAATTGATCCTCCCAGGATTGGTGACAGCTCCTCCTCACTTTCAAAAGCTGATGAAAAACGTAAAGATGATATAGCCATGAGGAAGAAAATAGTTCCAGGCTAGTGTATTTCTTTTTCTTTTGGGCCTATCCTTTGTGAGCTTTAGTGCATTCCTTTTATTTAAATTAATAGCTCAGAAGCCCTGTATATACGTTGTATCATCTTCTTCCGTGAATCAATACAATATTTTTCCTAATCTCTACAAAATGCCAATACAACAGTACTATACAAAACAAAAATCTCCGGAAACCGTCTTCCATCATATAAATATATATATATATATATTAGTTTAGCTTAAGAAGGCCTACCGCCGCCTCCGCGGTCATCGGAAATAGTCTCCTCTGACGACCATCGCTCGGAATAACAATCGGGCCATCCGGCGTATCAGCATTTCGTCCCAGTCTAGCAACTGGCGGCGAGTTCATCCTCCCCTCGTTTCTCCTTTTAGCGGAGGCGTACCTGTTGTCCACCGCCGGCTGCTGAGACAGCCTCCCGGCAAGGCCATGGGCAGCCAGGTTCGGCCACTGCAATCCGGGATGAAGCAGCGACGGAGTAACGATGCCCACTGGTGTTTCCGCTGCATCTCTTAGCCAGTGTGGCAAAGCTCCCTTCAAATCGTCCCGGCCGTATTCGGTTGGGTTGAAATAACCGAACGGCGACAAGGTGCTAGAGTTACCGGCGACACTGTATTTCGGGGCATTATTAGGATGGAAAAGATGCCTGTTTGGTATGGCTCAGTAGGGATTCCCGAGGGAAAGCTGGAATTCGTCGATTGGGAAGTTCCCGTTCGCCTGTGGATGCAGCAGCAGGCTGCTAACATGGTCCGGCGGGAAGGGATTCAGGATTGGATTCGCATACCTGACTTGGGAGACCGGCGTGGCATGCAAGAGCCAGGATTGTCCTTGGTCGGCTAAGTCCCGAGGCATCATCCTCTGTCTGGCGAACGATTGTCCTCGGTTGGGTGATGGGGCCATAAAATCATGAAATGCTTTTCTCGGCTGTAGTTGAAGAAGTATGTTTCCACAGCGTACCTGAAGGTATGTGGTCCTGGAAGAGTTGCCTGATGCTGGCTCAGATTCCATGGCCGATTTTCCCTTGTCGACAGCAGCATCAACTGATCGATGATTGCTGTCTCTGCACTGAGTTTGCCCAGTTTGTGCATTTTCATTTCTCTTACTACCCAAGCCGACAGAGCTGGGAAGAAAGTCTGAAGGTCTAGGTAGATGACTTTCTTTGAACCTCGAGACAAGCGGTAGATTGCAGTCTATGTCTCGGAAAGTTCCAGAAGGGACGTCCCTGCGCGGATCCCTGCTCAGATCAAACACCACATCAGTTATTGTATATATCACAGTAAAATGATGGCACTGATGGAGACAAAATGAAACGTACATGGCAATTTCCGGGGCAGGGGCCGCAGAGACATGCAAGTTATTGATATCATCAAAGGGTTTCTGTCACAGAGCAAATACATCAGAATCACACATATTCAGTAACATCATAAAAGTTGATATTATGGAATTATTTGCTTTAATTTCTCTAACAATCATCATTGATTTTTTCCAATTTTATTTGTGAACATTCATCATCTGCTGCTTCTAACTTTGATTTTAACATCAGGTAATAGTGAGCACTAAATATTGAAGACCAACGTGGCATATTGAAGCATCGGAAAACTTACTAAATAATTGAAAACAGCATAACAACTCTATTCCTTTTCATTAATTAACTTCAAAATTAACATTCTGAAAATAGTGTTGACATCCTAAATAACATGAAAAAAGTAACAAAAGAAGCAAAATAGCGTACCAATGATATAGATATTTGGAAAAAAAGAGGTAAGATAAGATAAGATAAACCAAACCGAACCACATTGTCCTTCAACGCCATCACACTTTTGTCAGACATTCTTGTTTCAAAAACAATGTCAAGAGCAGCAATATTTCTTTTTCTCTTGGATCTTCATTGGTACATAATTAATGAGGCTGAGAACCTGCCATATGTATGTGAATTGTTGCAGGAGCCACCAGGACAATCTTTGTTTCATTCGAAGTAAATGTTTCCGAAACACAAGTGTCCATTGGATGGCTGCCATTAGCTCCACCGGACACTTTCTGGTATCGCGAATGCGATTCCTTGAAAGAGCATGCATCAGAAGATGTAAGTGAAACTCTCCTCTCAAACTTATGCTCCAAACCCGACTTTACCAATGATGGTTTTGTTTGAGGATTAAAAGATTTTTCATCGACACCAGATCCAGCAGCTGATTCCATTAGAAGTGTCTCTCTGGAATCCACTTCATTTGCATCAAATGTGCACTGCTTTCTTTCATAATTCTGGCACTTCGAAACAAACGAATCTTGCTGTTTTGAACCCGCAGAATTAAGCTTTCGCAACTTTGAAGCATTTTCCTATCGAAAGATGAGATGTGTATGACTTTCAGAAATTCGTACGCGCAAAATGTACAGTTCTTCTAAGTTCAGGAAGAACTAAAGAATTAATGAGGAACCCGAACCTCAGAACGTTGACATTGATTCTTGGAGTTGCAGTGTTCACACAGCAACGCATTTTCTTCGGCATTTCTTTGGGAACATTCATGGCTTATCTGCAAAGATATTGCAATGATATTAGTCGTGATCTGCAAACTGTTGCTCAAACACATACAAAGAGCTAAGGAAGGAAAAGCAGATTTGGAAGACCGCTGAAAAAATTTGATGCACGCACCAAACAATAATAATTTCAAAATAAGTAGATGGGTATGTCCAGCTAAAGTGTCAAGGTTAAGGGTCTCGGCTTCAACATCGAATGAAGTCTACTCCTAAAACACGTATATTATGGAAGAAAATCTACACACAACTCACACTTCTTCACAATTTTCACCAATTCGTTTTTTTTTTTTTTAAATCCACTGGCCAAGAATCTGTCAATAAATACCACATAGATGTAGGGACTACAAACCTGATAGCGACTTTCAATTATGAAGTTGCGTAATTAAAGGCAAGCTCAAAACGATCCAACAATAGCCATGTAATTGAACACCTTTTACCATGTGTGGCACACTTAAGCATTCTCATTCAACAAACCACTTAGTTAATGATTAAGCTTTAGTTCAACTTCACATTTCGACTCCAGTGATGACACGTGGAAAAAAAAAATCATATTTAATGAATCGACGTCAGTTTTTGCTTCCAATATTCATGGAATGTATTGCTCCCTACCACGTGTACCCATTGGCGCATGAAAACAAACGTCTATTTGTGCTAGGTGCAATCACTTATTGCACCATACACAACAAAATATCCGGTGACAAACCAAGCACAAACAACAAAACCAATAGCAAACTCAAATGTGTGATACGCCGGCTTCTAATTCTGCAATACTTCAATAAATGCTGTACAAATATGGGAAAACAGTCACACAAACAAACACCAAATCGAAATCATATTACAAAGAAATCCATGGTGAAACACTCCATACGTCAAGAATAACATTCAACTAATAGGATAATAATTTCTCACCTCAACGTCTCTTTCCTTACTTAGCAATGTATGCTCAGAAACACCATTCTTGTCCTTTTCAAAACTGGTTGAGGATTTCGCCACCAAAATCTCAGGATGGTTATCCGAATGCAAGTCACTTCTTGAGAAAAGCCTGTTTCTCTTGTATGTAACGAATACATTATGACTATTGCCAATGATCATTGTAGGATCTCGAGAAATCTCTTGCATTAGCACTACACATACAACACAACACCACAAACATGTAGACATGTAGTCAGCATCATCACAATAAAAAATCCACAACAAAAATTGAAATGCAATTATCTAAATCGAAGAGGAAGTGACCAGAAAAAAGATACACATTTCGGAGTGATTTAACAGTTAAACCAAACCACAATTTCACAAAAACCTTCATGACTTAGAAAAGCCAAACAAACAATTAATTGATAAGGAGGAAAAATCTGAACCATCAAAACCTTCCCAATTCGACTACACTGAGATATACAAAATCCAATCATCAATCCAACAATGGGTTCGAAAAGGCATTAGCATTTCACCATCCACCTACAAAATCATCAGCAATTTACCAGAAAAGGGAAACTCAAAATCATATCGAACTCAAAGCGTGAAAAGAATAGTGTTGACATTCTAAATAACATGAAAGGAATAACAAATTAAACAAAATAGCATACGAATGATATAGATATTTGTAAAAAGAGGTAAGATAAGATCAACCGAACCTCATTGTCCTTCAGAGGCATCACAACTTTGTCTGAAATTCCTATTTCAGAAACAATATCGAGAGCAGAAATATTTCTTTTTCTCTTGGATCTTCGTAGTACGTAATTAATGAGGAAGAGAAACTGCAATATGTATCTGAATTGTGGCATGAGCCACCAGGGGAATCTCCTGTACCTTTGTTTGTTTTTTTCGAAGTAAAGGTTTCTGAAACACAAGTGTCCCTTGGATGACAGCAATTAGCTCCACCGGACACTTTCAGGCGCCACAAATCCAATTCCTTGAAAGAGCATGCATCAGAAGATGTAAGCGAAACCCTCTCCTCAAACTTATGCTCCAAACCCAACTTTACCAATAATGGTTTTATTTGAGGATCAGAAGAGTTATCATCAGCACTAGATCGAGCACCTGATTCCATTAGATGTGTCTCTCTGGAATCCACTTCCAAAGCTACATTTGCATCAAATGTGCACTGTTTTCCTTCATAATTCTGACACTCCGAAACAAAGAAATATTGCTATTTCGAACCCACATAGTTAAGCTTTTGCAACTTTAAAGCATTTTCCTATCCAAAGATGAGATGTGTATTGACTTTAAAAAATTTGTATGCACAGATAATCACATATCTGCAATGTACAGTTTGTCTAAGTTCAAGAAGAGCTAAAGAAATAATCAAAAAACCCAAACCTCATAACATTGACATTCATTCTTGGAATTGTAATTTTCACACAGCAACATATTTTCTTCGGAATTTGTTTAAGAACATCTGTGGCTTATCTGCAAAGATATACAATGTCAATATTAGTCGCAACGTAAAAATTTTGTTCAAAGACATACAAAGAACTAGGGAAAAGCAGTATTGGAAGACCGCTGACAGAATTTAATACACTCACGAAGCAATAATAATTTCAAAATAAATAAATATGTCCAACTCAAGTGTTGAGGTTAAGGTCTCAGTTCAACATTGAATGAAGTCTACTCCTTAAGCACATAGATTATGGAAGAAAATCTATACACAACTCACACTTAACATATTTTCACCAATATTTGTTTAAAAATCCACTGGCCAAGAATCTATCAATAAATACCAGATAGATGTAGAGACTACAAACTGTTGGAATTTACCAGCAATTTAACCCTAAGCTCAGGATCTACTGTGTTGTCATAATTGAGATAAAAATAAAGCAAAATAAATCTAACCTTATTCCATTAGTATAATCGAATTCGGATCTGCAAACAATGGAGGGTTTTGTGTTCTTCAAGCTATGGCGTAACCCCTCTTAAGAAAACCGCCAGGATATTGCTACCTGGGATCACAACCCTATTAATTGGCCTCATCACCCAATTAATAAGTTACGGGGTTTCTGTCCCGCACTTACTAAACACATTTAAGCCCAATAAATTAATAGATACTTAATATAGGTTTAAACTAACTGATAGCCTAAATAGTTACATTTAACCCACAATTGGATTTTTAATCCAACAATCTCCCACTTGGGTAAATGTACACTGAATAACCTTATGAGCTCATGAAAAAAATTTGCTATAAAATCCTTTAATGTATATTACCAATCTTATCTATAAGTTACGTCAATGCGGATCAAAGCGGCCGTTACTGCATTTATCACAATGGGACCGATCAGTGGTCACAACACTAATATAACCTAAGATTCGATCAAATGCGGATGCACAGCATGAAAATTTCATATAATGTGATCTTAAGATGCCTATTTCCAACTGATCTACCTTAACTTTAATTCGGAACAACTGAATACGAATTAAAACTGAATACTGTACACTGAATCTTGAACATTGAATACTGAACTGTGCAGTGTAAACCAAAGTAACTTTAATAGTATTTGGACACTACTAATTAGCTCCCACTAAACCGAAGTATCTTATATGGTTCCATTCTCATATGAGCAATATGCTCACTATAGAACTTATGTGGAAACCCTTTACTAATTAAGCGGATCCGTAATCGTGGAAGTTATATGAATATGTTCAATAACTAATTCATGATATGAAGTCAGACTATTAAGTAAATAGTGATTATTATTATCAAATGATGCACTACTTTCAATCGATTTTGAATTCTGGAAGAGACAAAACTTTATATTCGAATGAACAATAATAATTGAATTTGTTCAAAATAGAGATCGAAATTAAATTTTGAGTGAAGATGGTACCATAAAAAAATGTCTCATCCAAATTCAAATAGTAACGAGTACTCAATAATAATCTAAAATTATCAATGACTTCAACTTGAACTTTCTTGTCGTCACCCATATATATGTATCTTTCAACATCAATTGATTTCGACAATAAAATAATCTTGCATAGACATACTGATGTGTGTTGTTACACCAAAATCCACCCTCAGGTTTGTCTATAAACTGAAATTAAATTAATTTCAAGAGCAAGACTAATAGGACAAATATGTCCTCCAAAATGTCTAACTTAAGTGCCCTCAATTTAGTAGCAATAGTAGACATGTTCATGATGTACTCCCTTATGTTATGTTTGTCGTTATACTTTATGGTAATGAGAAGAGTACGCATTTCTGCCTTATCGCTTTTGGTAAAGCGTTTCTTAATTTCGACAAGGAATCCATATCATCATATATTGTACTCCTAAAAATTTATGGAGTGCTTTTCTTAATGATAATTAGACTTAGGCGTTGGACCTATCCCACTTCTCAAATAACTACATTTAATATGCAGTGTTTCTCGCCGTATGAGTGGGTGAGTCTACTCTTAATGCCAAGTCAAGATTCATGCAACCAAATGAATCAATATTGATTCTTTTAGTGCTTAAAGTTGTCCCGAGACAGTGTTGGGACTGAATAAATATACACATAAATATTCATAAAGCATAATGAAGCTCAATAATAATGCATTCTTATCCCAAGACACTAAGTGCGACATCAATGATCAATCTTTGGATCAATAACATTGATTGCTAGCAGTAATCTTGTTGCAATAATCATATACGGACAATAAGTAATGTCAAACAACAACCAATCTTTGGACTGATTTACTATTCACATAAGTTAAATCTATATAATCGTCCCATACATACTATCGCAGATGTATATTTTATTCTGTCAATTACCGACTGCCTTTAGGCCGAAGAATAATCACATGAATTAAAATACACATAAACACTTACGTTATAAAGAAAAAATCTTATATAAGAGAGGTTACTTTGGCAACGTTAAATACTTGATCTTCACCGTCAAAACGCAGCATGAATTATTAATGAGTTTATAATTTTCTTAAACTAAATTATAATCAGAATCATGTTCAATATACACGGGTCTGATTCCATAAAAAATAAAGAATGCTTATTAGCAACTGAATGAACATGTCTATAAGCTACTGAATGTTTCGTATGTGAATTTATAAAATAAAGTAGCAATTATATCACAAGTTATCGAGCAACATCAGCAAATGTCGTTGGACAAATTACTGACTCGCCAGTGATAAACTTATTTTGACAATTAAATGTAGACAATAAAGTAGTGTGTCAAACAACACTCCATTTTTGGACAGATCTATTATCCACACACAAACAATCAAAATTATCATCACCACATTCAATGTCACTAAACATGTATGTAACTACTTAATGGCTTAGTTGCCTTTGGGTCAATCAGGAGCCTTATAAATCACAAACACAACTTTCTAATACACAAAATAAACTGATTTACACAGCTGCTTTGGCAACATAATTGTTTCAACTAATTCATGAAATATATTATATTATTTATTGCTAATTAAATTCACCTTAAATAAATTATGTATGTTTAATACATATGAAAGCTATAACAGCAATTAATTGATGGACTTATTAAAATAATAAGTAGTCCAAGAAAGGCAGCGGAATTATATAAGCAAAAAATATGTCACCCAATGAGACTATAAATTAATACACCAAATAATTATAGTCGAAATTAAACAAATGTATACTGTAATAAATACATGCTACTATATCCCAAATTTAATTGAATTTAAAACAAATCAGAAGAAATCTGTAATTCTAATTATTCATAAATTCATCAATAAAATAAATAGAGCATTGCACAACTGACAACGAAAGTACACAGGACCATATGTACACACTGATTGCATATATTTAGTAATGTAACACATATTTGAATTTATAAAATTCCACGCCATACTTTATCTGAATCCAAAATTAATAGAATCCTTTAACGGATGAGAGTGAATTGATTTTATAAAATCAATAATAATAAATGAATAAACAAATTCAGTACGTATTAAATGTAATTACAGATACATTATTATATGTACATTAATTAATAAATCTTTACTGCATGTATACATATGTAAGCACACAAAAATTGGACACACTAATTTAATGACATCATGTAATATTGCATAATTATGTAATTAATTGATTAAATGAGTACACTATATTGATGTAAACATCAACAAAATTAATGCGTACTCCATTCCATTGAGTATTAAATAAATTAATAATACCGTTTTTGAAGAAAAATGATTGTCAGTCCAATTATTAATGCAAATTAAACTTCAAACTAATAATAATTCTCCGTATGGTATAATGGCAAGGAATTTATATATATATATATATATAAACTAATATATTTTCGATAACAAATATCCATACGATTGCATATCAAAATCAAATTAAACTTCAATCATGACTAATCTCAATTAAGCAATCAATTTATTTAATTAATATACCAAGAATCCGTAGAACATGCAATCACATTCATAATAAAAGAACTGATGCAGACACTCACATTCATAACTTATTGTCTGCTTTGATTCATAATATATATATATATATATTATTGTTGATGCAATAAAACTAAAATTCGAAAATAGAGAAATATCCTCGAATTTGATAGGTGAGTGCCTGAGATTAGAAATCTCTAAACACTGTAGAATACATAAAATAAAATAGGAAAAATAACAATAAAGACTGAAAAATAAAGTGGCGATCCCCAAAAGGAATTATCTTGAATTTGATGTTGATTGAAGATGCCTTTTTTCGAACAGCACCGGATCCTTAAATAACACTGTTGAAGAAACGGTTCGAACCGCTATCTGGTTGGTTACCATAACCGCTGTTAACCGTCCCAAAAGTTCTCTTCTATTGACACGTGTGTCGACCGTCCTACCACGTCCGACCTTCAAAAACCGTTCGCCAGTTGCAACTTCCTCCAACCGCCCCAGAACTGTTCTCTCACCCAACCTGCACATGCTACTTCACTGCCCCACCTCATTACGCCCGACCTTATCCTGCCTCATCTCCACACCAGACCTTACCATACCCGACTTTCAAATTTGGCCTGCTTGCGCCCGACCTTTAAGCTTGGCCCGACCAGGTCCGACCTTATTGTCCGACCTTATCGCACCCGACCTTACTTGGTCCGAACTCCGCAACAACCGACTGTGGTCCCGACCGCAGAGCAACCAACTGTGGTCCCAACCACGGACCACCGACTGCAGACCAACCAACTGTAGTCCCGACCACAGAGCAACCGACCGGTTGTATTTGCCTTATCTTTTTAGATGGACAGACTAGCCTCTTGACAGACCGTCTGTCCATACTTCTTCTTTGCCCAACCTTTCTCTTGACAGACCTCCGCGTCTATCCATACTTCTTCCTTGCCCGACCTTCCTCTTGACAGACCTCCCCGTCTGTCCGACTTCTTTTTCCCGATTTCTGGGCCGTTTGGCTTATATCCAAACTCATCCAGCATTCTACTACCATTATTTATTATTATTATTATTTTTTGTGCTCAATTATAATTGCATTCAATGTCCATTCATACTTGTAAAAAATAAATAAATAACACGATTACATAATCATGTTAACATATACATATATTAATTGTAAGCAAATTATTATGTTGCAAACACGTCAATAAATCATCATACATATTTAATGATCAATGGACAACAAACTTACGGAGTGATTTCACAAATGGAGACTGAAGGGATTGATGTATGATTAAATATGATGTCAACATTCTCAATATAAGACATATGGACATAATGGCAGCACACGAAATAATAATTTCACTTAATTAAATTTGATTAAGCAATTATATCATACAATGAAAAGATTCGACACCAACATCTAGCAAACAGATCAATTCGAAAAAATAAGTCTGTTCTATCTTGCGTGGATTAAATCTGACCGATCAAACATCAATTGATCTAACAGATAAATCTAAAAAATTCAACACGAAACCTGGCTCTGATACCAATTGTTGAAACTTATCAGGAATTTAACCATAAGCCAGGATCTACCGTGTTGTCATAATTGAGATAAAAATAAAGCAAAATAAATCTAAACTTATTCCATTAGTATAGTCGAATTCGAATCTGCAAACAATGGAAGATTTTGTGTTCTTCAAGCCTATGACGCAACCCCTCCTAAGTAAACCGCTAGGATTTCTGCCGATACTCCCACGATGACTCCCACGATGAGATATGGAACGTAATGGATATTGCGTCTAGACCTGGATCACAACCCTATTTATATCCCTTATTATGAATTGGTCTCATCACCCAATTAATAAGTTACCGGGTTTCTGTACATTGGAGGCCCGCACTTACTAAACACATTTAAGCTCAATAAATTAATAGATACTTAACATAGGCTTAATCTTGACTGATAGCTGAAATAGTTATATTTAATCCACGATTGGATTTTTAATCCAACACAAACCTGATAGAGAAAAGAAAATTTGTATCTAAGATGCCGACTTTCAATTATGAAGTTGCTTGATTAAAGGCAACCTCAAATTGATCCAACAGTAGCCATGTAATTGAACACCTTTTACCACGTGTGGCACACGCATTATCATTCATCAAACCACTTAATTAATGATTAAGCTTTAGTTCAACTTCACATTTTGACTCCAGTGATGACATGTGGAAAAAATCACATTTAATAAATCAACGCCATTTTTTGCTTCCAATATTCATGGAATGTATTGCTCCCTACCAAGTGTACCCATTGGTGCATGAAAATAAACATCTATTTATGCTAGGCGCAAGCACTTATTGCACCGTACACGACAAAATATCGGGTGACAAACCAAGCAGAAATAACAAAACCAATAGCAAACTCAAATATGTGCATACAGTGGCTTCAATAAATGCAGTACAAATATGAGCAAACAATCATAGGAACAAACACCAAGTCGAAATCATATTCCAAAGAAATACATGGCGAAACACTCCATATGTCAAGAATAACATTCAACTAACAGGATAATATATAATGTCTCACCTCAACGTCTCTTTCCTTGCTCTGAGTGTATGCTCAGAAACACCATTCTCGCCCTTGTCGAAATTGATTGAGGATTTCGCCACTGAAATCTCAGGATGGTTATCCGAATGCAAGTCACTCTTTGAGAATTGCCTCTTTCCCTTATATGTAACAAATACATTATGACTATTGCCAATGATCATTGTAGGATCTCTAGAAATCTCTTGCATTAGCACTACAGTGCACATACAACACAACACCACACCACAACCATGTAGTCAGCAGCACCACAATAAAAAATCCACAACAAAAAATAAAATGCAATTATCTAAATCGAAGGGGAAAATAAGTACACATTTTTGAGTGATTTAACAGTTAAACAAAACCACCAATTTCACAAAAACCTTCACGACTTGAGAAAAACCAAACAAACAATTAATTGATAAAAAGGAGGAACAATCTGAATCATCCAAACCTTTCCCATTCGACTACACAAAAATATACAAAATCGAATCATCAATCCAACAATGGGGTTTGAAAAGGGATTTGCATTTCACTATCAACCTCCAAAATTATCAAAACCTTTTTTTCTTTTTTTAAAAAATATTTACCAGAAAAAGGCAGACCAAAATCAATTCGAACCCAAAGTGTGAAACAAGTAAAGCCCCAAGCTCCAGAGTCCCAACATCACGAAATTTCAGAGAAACATAAAACCCTAGTTGGAGAAAAAGCAACAATTTTGAGCCCATCAAGAGATGAAATCAGTACGAGCCCACGGTTGACAAAAATTAATCCGACCTTTGACATAAAATAATGGGTTTGAGTTCAAATCCTGTGTGATTAGAGTCTAGATCCAAATTTTTAATCTAAAAATAATTTTTGTAACATGTTTAATTAGTATTATTTTAAATTTAAATATATTTTTTAAATTTTATTAACCGAACTCAAATATTCATGAATTATTTTATAAAAAAATATATAAAAAATAAAATTAAAATTAAAATTTTGAAAATATATAGTTAAACAAAATAAAGACTTTGAACTATTTTTTTCAATAGATTGAAAAACAAAATCCTTATTATATTTGTATTTTGTACTATGTAGTATTTTTAAATTAGACTTCTAAATATTGGTTTTATAATATAAATAAATAGTTTTTACTTTAATATATATTATGAATTTGAAAATTTTGTTAGTAAAAATTATGATTTTAAATTAAAATTATTAAAAAAATTTAGATTTAAATAAGTTATACATATCAGATTTTGATTAAGATTGTAAATATCAATCCGTTTAATTAAATTGGTCAAATTCAAATTTAAATCAAAATTTTTATACTCCGTTTATAATTGATCCGAACCCGAACCCGACCTAATTCATTTACCAGCACTAGTACTGGTTTTGAAGATAGTAGAGATAGTAGATAAATAAAGAAAGATAGAAAGAGTGAGAGGGAAAAATCACGAAAAAGGGAAAATACTGAATTCAATATTATAAATTTAATGGGAGACATAATACAAATAGAGAAATAGAGTGTGTGTTTATTTTGAAGAGATTTGAATTTGGATTGAATTTGAATTTTTAGATGGATTTGGAATTTTGTGTTTTTCTTTTAGGTTTATAGATTTAAAGAATTTTGATATATATTGATTTAATATGTAATAATTGTGTTGGTAAAAAAGTGTAATATAGCAGTTAAATTTTTTTATTTGATAAATAATAGATAATGTTTATAAAAATAAACAAATATATTTCCATAGTTTTGATTTTATAAAATTTTAAAAATAAATTCTAAAAAAAAGTCACATGCAAATTTGTGGTGATTTTCTCCATTAGGGAAACAATAATAATTTTGGAATGAAAAACTGGTTGATTCGGAACGATCATATATTTTTGCCCTGTCATAATTGTGATACTCAACGTAAGGGGAACGTAACATGTTACGTTGTGAATATTCTTACTTTATGACATAAGAAAATATCCTGTGAGAATGAAGTATTCAAAGACGGAATACCAATCAGTAGCAAGCGAATAATAAAATTTCAACAATACATAAACACCCGTTCACAGAACAACGTTGGAATCGGATTCTTCAAAATAAAATAGGCATTTGGTTATGGGCATCGTACCTGGATGAGTGCACATAGAGCTCCAATTTTGTCAACCGGATGGAGACGGTCACTGATCCAGTAGTTGGAAATGTCCACATAGTTCCTCAAATCTAGTCTCAATGATATGGAGTCTCCCGTCAATCTGCGGCTCTATGTCAACAAGTCAACGCTCAATCGCGGAAACGCGTTGAAGCGCCAGTGTAGAGGTGCACTCCCCCACGTCTGCGCCCATCATATCCTCCCCTTGGGGCACCGGATCTCCATGTTGGCTCTTTTGGATAATCCCTATTTGAGTTAGTGCTCAATTCCTGCTAACTTTATCCTCGAGGCCGGACAATCTAAGAACACAGTAGTGACTTGTAGACCGTGTGCCAGTTGGGTAGCATACGGACCAATGGCAATGGTCCATAGACGTCCATCAGCGGCTTGCTTCACAAATAGTCGAGCAAGCAAATATCTAATATTGATGGGCACCGCAGTCTCTATGCTCTATATATACTCAGATCACCCGTAATGGCAACACTCATGCTCGAGTTACGTCCAATCAACATATGTGCAAAATGTGTAAATGTACCGAAGCGTTTGTGAGCGAAACGCGGTTGCTTTCGACTGCCCTGGAAGGTAGTTTGCAGAATCCGTAATTGACCTGTAGTAGATCTTTTGGGACGCTTGTAATTCCCCCTTTATCGATTTATAGTCCCTTGTTCTAGTAAATTCTTTGTCATAAAGCCCCATCGCAATTAAAAATTCGATAACGGAAAGTCGGAAGCATAAATTCCCTAGTCGGAAGCGTTGTGTTGCTGGATAGTTGAACTCATGTAAGTGCTTTATTTCAGACTCCAAAGTAGCCAGCAATTCCAATGTGAGGGTACGCGTTGCGTGTTGTCCTGAATAACAAAAAAGTGTTTCCATGCTTTAACGTTCAGGTATTTTTCGAGTTCTTCAGTCGCGGAGAGTGCCTTCACTGTTTCGTTAGTAATGTATCGACAGTGATGAAAGAGACACCCTGAGGGTGTTTGAACTTTGCAGCATGCTCCAGATTATCGAACATCCGTGCAATCTCCTTGTCCATGGGTGGAGCAGGAGTCAAAGTCGTGACCTTACTCTTTTTTGTAGCTCGTGGCCTCTTTTTCGCCGGAGCCATACTCCGGTTTGCAAAGAAGACCTATAAACTACACAAAGCAATAAAACGTGAGTGTACATTTATTATAGAGTATTGAGATTCGGCGTTCCCTCACCGAGATCCCCAGGTGTGCAAAGCTGTACTGATCAAAATAGTTGGTTGCCAGTATCAATATTTGTTTAATTTATGTTCTAAAATGATTTAGGATGAAACTACAGAAGGCTTATAAATTTGGAATTCTTTGATAGGAAGATTTGATGAACTTAGTAAAGTAATTTTATTCCTGTGTGAATCAATGAAATCCTATGATGTAGAATGAATTCCTCTGTAAATCTTTTATATGTGAATTCATTTCATGTGAACTAACAAATTATCTTCGCTAAGTTTTCCGACATTCTTTTGTAAATCATGTAGATTGCGGGAGTGGCAAAGTTTTGTAAATTTGCATTGAAGGAATTGCGTCGATGGATGAAGCCAAAAAAGGTAAATTCAAGACCAATGCAAATGTTACGGTTTGGTATTTATTTATGGATACAATTTCCACGCAGTGCTGTTTTTCATTGCAGGTGAAAACTTCAATGACCACTTTCCCATCATCAGGCGAAATAGTGTCAGAACCTTTAGGTGTTGCTTTGATAATATCAGCGTGCAATTACCCCCCATCTGTAAGTTAATTTTATTCTTCAAGTGCATACTTTATTTTATCGATGATTCCTTAGTTGATGCTATTCTTTACTAGATTACTGCTTGTGTGTGTTGTCTTATTTTTGTTCGATTCTGATCTTGTATCCCCAAACAGTGTTGTCTCTAGATCCAGTTATTGGAGCTATTGCAGTTGGTAATACTGTCGTGTTGAAGCCATCAAAAATTTCCCCGGCTACATCTTCGGCACTTGCAAAGCTTCTTGGACAATATATGGATACATCCGCTGTGAAAGTTGTCGAAGAAGGTGTGCCTGAAACTACTACCCTCCAGGTCCAAGGGACGAAGTTAGTGGGTGGAAATGACAGAATCAACCCCGCCCCCGTACTAATTATAAATTACTTAGTGAGGATGCATATATAATATATATCGAAATTTCTATGTGATGACTTCAAATATGAGCATATTCTTAGCTTGACAAAACTATGTATTACTTGAATTTCTGTATAAAAATCATCGCAATAACTTGTTAATGACATACTTTATTGATCTATATCGCTTGGCATGATCCAGAGTTCGTTTGGTGAGATTATTAACGAATTTTGCCATTTTTAAGCGGTATTTTGGTGCCAAAAAAACTAAGGCAGATGCCACAAGCGACAGCTACCTCCACTTGCAAGCGACGGTTACATCACCTAGAAAAGACTAAGGCAAAAGAGACAAGCGGTAGCTTCCACCGCTCGCAAGCGACGGCCCAGACGCCCACCGCTGCAGAATGACAGCAGATATTGACTGAGTGTTCCAACTGCAGCGGTACAACCATTCCATTGCCAGCCAAAACAAGCAAGCCTAGCTGCCCTGATGCCCTCTAGCCCTTCGGCAAGCGAGGAAGATCTGAGCCCTTACAATCTTCTGCAAGCAAAGCGGGCACCCTAGGAATTACGGCCAGCAACTGCTTCAACAGAATAACTGCCATCAACCGCCTAACTGCCTAGCGATTGAAACTGCCTTGTAACTACTTGCAACCGTTCCTTTTCACTTACTATAAATAGGGTCAGATATCTGTATGTAAATATACTTTGATTGGAGTATTATAGCGATTAATTTGCTGCGCATTCTAGCTGTCTTCCTCTTCTTCGAGAGCTCCAACCCTATAAGGGACTTCTCCACAGGAATGACCAAGCTTTCGACTACAGTTTTGTAGAATTAGCATTTTCAGCTTTATTAGTAAATAATAAAATATCATTCAGTTCTTTATCTCTATTTTTTTTCACATTTTTTTCACATTTATTTCTTTCACATTTTCTTCACTACTTTTTTCACTAATACACTCACAAGGGCAAAAATGTCTTTTACCTATACATTTTACCCACTATCAATATAATATCAATATTCCTTAAATTTTATACCCAACACAACAAGACTATAGTTCCGGGACGGAGGGAGTATATATCTTTATAAAAATTAAAGATCTATGAATAATACTCTCTCCATCTCAACTGTTGTATCCACATTGTCTCATATTTCATGTCATTTTCCTATTTTTGAAAAATACTCTCTTCGTACTAATTCAAAAAATCATTTTTGTTTGTTTCATTTCAATGTATCCATTTTCAAATTTTTTAAAAAAATAATTATACAATAATACTAAAATACTCTTAATTTTTACCAAAATTACAAATATACAATTACACTTTTATAATTACTTTATATATAAAGTTAAAGAGCAAAAATGTCAAAATCTCTTACACACTTTCATTAACCAATAAAATATTATTATTTTTTAATCTACTACAAAACCCCAAATGACTCGTTTGACGAGGCACGGAGAGAGTATTATACACCGTAATCTCTATTTAAAATTTTTAATTTATAATATTTTTAAATTTAAATTAAACTAATTCGTTATCTCAATTTTAATTTATAATTATTTATGTTACTAGTACATTCTTAATTATATACTAAATATACTTATCATAAATTTTCGTATCTATGGTAATTCGGACACACTTCGGATGTGTTTGTTTGGGGGTTTGGATTTTGAGTTGGAATTTGAATAGTAAAAATTTTGAATTTGAATAGTTGTATGATGTGATATAAATAGGTGTTAATGTGATATTTTGAATGTAAAATTAATTTTTAGCATAATATAGAAAATAAAAAAATATGTGTTTGATTTGATGTTTTTAGGGAAAAAAAATGAGATGAACAGTGTATTTAAAATCCAATCCTCAAACAAACACGCCCTTCATTTCAAAATATTAATTTTCTATCGGAAAAAAAAAATAATTCAAGTCTCAATAACAACCAAATAAATCAATATTAGTCCCATATAGTAAAACTCATCAAAATTGTTCCCAGTTGTATAAATTTTAATCAAAATTGATCCCAAAGTTAAAAAAACTAACCATTTGACCAAATTTAGGTTATCTTATTTTGAGAAAATACGGAAGAAGAGATTTTTGAACTACCATTGGTGGATGGTGGCGCATTTTCAAGGTCCCAGACCTCCTGGGTGACTCCTTCATCCATTCCGCTGACATATTCGACACGACCATTGTCTCTCCCTAACCAAATCTGCTCAACCTCTAATTAACCAATAATTGTTCTCTTCTTCAATTTTTTAAGCACGTAAGAATAAATCCAATGCCAAAATTTTAAAAATTCTTTGTGGCAAGAATTACACACTTGTTCTGACCTGTTTTCCGATGCTCTTGAATTTTTTTCGATTTTGTGCAGAAGGGAAGCCTACATCGCCGTAGGATTTGAAGGAGTCTGTCACCGTCACCCTAGAAAAGCTATTTCCAAGGAATTGGTCAAACAGAAGGAATCAAAATTTCGGGAGAAAAAAACCCCCACAAAATTCATGTAAATCCATGGTAAATCGCCGAGATTGTGAGGTTTATGGAGTCTGACTGATTGCAAAATTGGCACTTCTTCTTTCTCGTTCTAATTTCTGGAGCGATTAGAGTAGAGCGGATTTTTTTAGAGAGAGATAGTTGTTCAAGTGTCAAATGTATCGGCGGGAGGTACGAAGGAGTCGTCGGAGAGGCCTGCGACGTTGAAAACAACGGCCACCGTCTTCTCCTCCTAGTTTAAAAATCTGCTCTTCCATTAAATATTAACACGGCCGTGTTTTTCAAAATAACATGATTGCTCAAATTCCGTCAATTTTCCGTTAGCTTTTTTTGCCATGGGATTAATTTTGATGAGTTTTTCTCTATGGGAGGAAAATTAATTTATTTGGTTTTCAATTGTACCAAAATTGATTTTTTTTTTTTTTATATGACGTGGGAATCCGCAGTAGCTATCCGAAAGTGGCTAACTATTTATGGCATGTGACCTGGAGGCGTTGGAGTTTAAACCCATGATCCACGGTCATAAGTGCACCCCACACCACTAGGTCATGCCTTACGGACACTAAAAATAACTTTTTCTTCTTTCGTTTTTAAGTTTTACTTAAATAACAAACATACATTTACAGGTATGATTACTATAAAGTCAAAGATTAAAATATCAAAATCTCTTATACACTCCCAATAATTAATAAAATACAATTGATTTGATTTAGTTTAGAATTAAATTTATAACTTTTAATTTTAATTCGGGTATGAATTTCAAATTTTAATTTTGATTTATCAAAATAATGTCTAACTTAAAAATATGACACGACCCCACTTACACTATTCTACCAATACTAATTCACATATAAGAAAACGATAAACATGCTATAATCCATCTTAATTATTTACATATATAATAACTTGTTCACCTGCTATAATTTTTTTTTTCAGCAAAACATAACATAACTCAATAGTAACCTGTTAACATTTACCAAAAGGATCTCAAACCATATCAAAAACTACGCAATCGACATACTATTTATAACAACACCATACAACTTCTAAAATAGACGTAATATAGAACAACATAAGCAAAACAAGCCACGGCTTGTCCGCAGGTCGTCATCTATGTACACGGTAACTCAAAATGCCTGTAAGAGCGCCACGGCTACTCCAGTCTGTCCACCAAGTCATATATCATCAGGATTACCTACAATGCATGAACTAAGTGAGATTTATAAATCTACGTAAGTAGAGATTATGCATGATGTGAAGTTTATCTCAAAATTCTCACTATGCAGAATGTGCTCTCGTTTGAAATCACCAATTTATTTATGAAATACTCTCCAGGGCCCCTAGACACACTGTTATACACCGGAAAAAGCTCAATATCCATATATTCAAATCAAACGGTGGCCTACACCAGGTAGCCTACACCAGGTTTCCTCGCAAGGTTTCCCGGGTCGCTTCTTCCCAGGTCGCTTCTTCCGAATGCATTGTTTATGCATTGTATATAAAGTCACAATAGACGGTGGCCTACACTAGGTGGCCTACACCAGGTTTCTCCAGGTCGCTTCTTCCCAGGTCGCCTCTCCCGCCCTCGGTGTATAATCAGCGGTCTAACATAGTAAAACCATCTTATTTCATTTCAATGCATGATTTGCATGCTTAATGAAAATGCAATGCAATATATTTCACAATATACAGATATTATTGAACTCACTGATTCAAACCACATCAATTTTGGAGTTCACAGACTCCTTCAACATAGTTCACAGGTTCAACCATATCACATACAGGGCTCACAGACTGAAACCAATTTATAGACGAAGATCGCATGCTCAAACCACATAATCACATAATATTAATCACATATTATATTTTTCTGATATTTACATATTATCAATCAAACATAAATAACTCACAAAATAATATATTTATGCATTGTAGTTGCAAATGAATTTTTACTTACCTGAAATTTGCCAAAAAGGTCAATAACTCTAACTCTTAAAGTCCTTTTCACGATTCCAGTATCATATCTAACAATAATTAATTATAAATATTACCCCAATTTACTAAATATTTATTTCTACTCAAAACTTACTCTATTTAGTAAAAATAGCAATAATTCGTGAACACAAAAAAATATCTGAACTAGATTTTTAACGAATTCGGCGTAATTTTATTTTTTTTTCTTTTCTTCGCGTTGTCTCACCTGTGCCTTCTCCCTCTCTTAGAATATGCAATTGAATTAATATGGATGAGGTGGGGGTGGGGATTATTACCCACCGCCTTACTTTATTTTATTTTATATATATATATTTTTATTATTATTATTAGTATTATTATTATTATATTTTATTATTATTATTATTACTTTACTTATTTATTTATTTATTTAATTATTCTATTTATTTTACTTTTTATTTAATTATTACAATTAGTTTTCAAGTGATATATTTAATTTACACCATTAATATTCAAATAATTTATCCAATTTATTTGTATCTTCTTAGAATTTCAGATAAATTATGATAATATTTTTTTTATTAATAAACAGGTAAGGCATATACCAAATTATAAACAATTTAACATTCAATAGTAAAATAAATAACCTAACATCATCGGTGATATATAAATAATATAAAGTGCACTCAAAACATGAATTATACTCAACTAATTATAAAATAACACATAAATAATATAAACAGAACATATAATTAAACAATTAATACTCAAGTAAACTAATGTATTCAATTCACGAAATATATTTAAACTACCACCAATTAACATATAAGTAATTTATATATATTGGGCAATGAGTAATGAGAACTCGGGTATCACAAAATATATATATTTATATATTATAATTTTGAGTATTAATATATATTTTAATCAATCAAATAGAACAAACAAAATAAATTCTCCGACCTATTTATCATTAATTCAGCTCAGATAGTACATTTGCACTCGCCTGTGATGCATATTTATCATTAATTCAGCTACAGATAGTACATTTGCACTCGCCTATGATTGCATCACTTTCAATCAATTTGAGGTATTCTATTTGTTTCATGCTGTCGACCACAGGAATTTGCGTAATTACCTGGACGGAATTACGCCCAAGTTCACCGTGGTGCATGCAAGTGCACATCATAAATAATATTGTCTTGTCTGATTGTTTGATCAGTGCACGACTATTCATTCTTGGAGTAATTACAATACAATAAAATAAAATTTCAAATTTTTATCAAATTAATTCAACAAATTTGTTTCATATCATTGAATTGAATAGCTCAATATTCCTTCCTGGAGTTCAGTTCCGATCCGATTCGATTGTGCATTTCAGCACTCTAAACACACCAACATTTTGCACAACTGCAATACAACAGTACTATACAAAACAACAATCTCCAGAGACCGTCTTCCATCCTAAATATATATATATATATATGTGAGTTTAGCTTAAGAAGGCCTACCGCCGCTGCCGCCACCGCCTCCTCTGCGGTCATCGGAAATAGTCTCCTCCGATGAGCCATCGCTCAGAATAACAATCGGCCCATCCGGCTTATCAGCATTTCGTCCCCGTCTAGCAACTGGCGGCGAGTTCATCCTCGCCTCGTTTCTCCTTTCAGCGGAGGCATACCTGTTGTCCACCGCCGGCTGCTGAGACAGCCTCCCGGCAAGGCCATGGGCGGCCAGCTTCGGCCACTGCAATCCGGGATGAAGCAGGGACGGAGTAACGACGCCCATTGGTGTTTCCGCTGCATCTCTTAGCCAGTGTGGCAAAGCTCCCTTCGAATATTCCCGGCTGTATTCAGTTGGGTTGAAATAACCCAACGGCGACAAGGTGCTAGAGTTACCGGCAACACTGTATTTCGGGGCATTCGTAGGATGGAAAAGATGCCTGTTTGGAATGGCTCGGTAGGGATTCCCGAGGGAAAGCTGGAATTCGTCGATTGGGAAGTTCCCATTCGCCTGTGGATGCAGCAGCAGGCTGCTAACATGGCCCGGTGGGAAGGGATTCGGGATTGGATTCGCATACCTGACTTGGGATTGGGAGAAGAGCCGGGATTGTTCCTCCTGCCACCTGTCGGCTAAGTCCCGAGGCATCTTCCATGGTGAGAACTGCAGCCTCCGGTCCCTTAGTATCGCGTCCCAATTGCCTCTCCCGTGTCGTCGCACGCCGATCCAGAGACAATCCAGCTCCGCTTCGGTCCAGTTAGTCCGGGGGGTTCGAAAAGTGGTTGGGAGGACACTCGGATTCCCCCGTGCAGCTCTTGCGAGCATCATCCTCTGTCTGGCGAACGATTGTCCTTGATCGGGTGTTGGGGCCATAAAATCATGAAATGGTTCTCTCGGCTGTAGTTGAACAAGACCAGGCCAGGCTTGACTACCGAGCCTCAGCTTTTCTTGGTTGTTGGGCAGCTGGGGTGGGTCTCCGTTGCTATTCTCCGGGAATAGCTGAAGCAAGAAATAACAAACCGAGAAAAGAACAAAAAGAGTTTCAACAATCAAACGTACAGCTCGAAAATTACTATCTCGGCATAACAAGTAGCAAGTTAAGCAAATCTGATTTCAAAGTTCCACGACTATTTGCAAAGTTTAAGTTTGCAACGTACCTGAAGGTATGTGTTCCTGGAAATGTTGCCTGATGCTGGCTCAGATTCCATGACTGATTTTCCCTTGTCGACAGCAGCAGCAACTGATTGAGAATTGCTGTCTCGGCACTGAGTTTCCACAGTTTGTGAATTTTCATTACTCTTACTACCCGAGCCGACAGAGCTGGGAAGAAAGTCTGAAGGTCTGGGTAGATGACTTTCATCGAAACTCGAGACAAGCGGTAGATTGCAGTCTATGTCTCGGATAGTTCCAGAAGGGACATCCTTTTGCGGATCCCTGCTCAGATCAAACACCACATCAATTATTGTATATATCACAGTAAAATGATGACACTGATGGAGACAAAATGAAACGTACATCGCAATTTCTGGGGCAGGGGCGGCAGAGACATGCAAGTTATCGATATCAGAGGGTTTCTGTCACAGAGAAAATACATCAGAATCACACATATTCAGTAACATCATAAAAGTTAATATTATGGCATTATTTGCTTTTATTGTTCAAACAATCATCATTGAATTTTTCCAATTTTATTTGTGAACATTCGCCATCTGCTGCTTCTAACTTTGATTCTAACATCGGGTTCTAGTGAGCACTAAATATTGAAGACCAATGCGGCATAGTGAAGCATCGGAAAGCTTACTAAATAATTGAAAACAGCATAACTACTGTATTCCTTTTCATTAACTTAACTTCGAAATTAACATTCTAAAAATAGTGTCGACATCCTAAATAACATGAAAAAAATGACAAATGAAACAAAATAGCATACGGATGATATAGATATTTGGAAAAAAAGAGGTAAGATAAGAGAAGATAAACGAAACTGAACCTCATTGTCCTTCAACGCCATCACACTTTTGTAAGAAATTCCTGTTTCAGAAACAATTTCGAGAGCAGCAATATTTCTTTTTCTCTTGGATCTTCGTTGGTATGTAATTAATGAGGCTGAGAACCTGCCATATGTATGTGAGTTATTGCAGGAGCCACCAGGGCAATCTCCTTTCCCTTTGTTTGTCTCCTTTGAAGTATATGTTTCCGAAACACAACTGTCCATTGGATGGCTGCAATTAGCTCCACCGGACACTTTCTGGCATCGCAAATCCGATTCCTTGAAAGAGGATGCATCAGAAGATGTAAGTGAAACTTTCTCCTCAAACTTATGCTCCAAACCCGACTTTACCAACAATGGTTTTGTTTGAGGATTAAAAGATTTTTCATCGGCACTAGATCCAGCAGCTGATTCCATTAGATGTGTCTCTCTGTAATCCACTTCCAAAGCTACATTCGCATCAAATGTGCAATGCTTTCCTTCATAATTCTGGCACTTTGAAACAAACGAATCTTGCTGTTTTGAACGCACAGAGTTAAGCTTTTGCAACTTTGAAGCATTTTCCTATCCAAAGATGAGATGTGTATGACTTTAAAAAATTCATACGCGCAGATCATTACATATTTGAAATGTACAGTTCTTTTAAGTTCAGGAAGAACTAAAGAAGTAATGAAGAACCCGAACCTCAGAACATTGACATTGATTCTTGGAGTTGCAGTGTTCACACAGCAACACATCTTCTTCGGCATTTCTTTGGGAACATTCATGGCTTATCTGCAAAGATATTGAAATGTCAATATTAGTCGCAATGTCCAAACTGTTGCTCAAAGACATACAAGGAACTAAGGAAAGGAAAGCAGATTTGGAAGACCTCTGAACAAATTTGATGCACACACCAAACAATAATAATTTCAAAATAAATAAATGGGTATGTCCAACTAAAGTGTCAAGGTGTTAAGGGTCTCGGCTTCAACATTGAAGTCTACTCCTAAAACACGTATATTATGGAAGAAAATCTACACACAACTCACACTTCTTCACATATTTTCACCAATTCCCTTTTTTTTTTTTTTTTAAATCCACTGGCCAAGAATCTGTCAATAAATACCACATAGATGTAGGGACTACAAACCTGAGAGCAAAAAGGAAATTTGTATCTAAGATGTCGACTTTCAATTATGAAGTTGCTTAATTAAAGGGAAGCTCAGCGCAATTTAACAGTAGCCATGTAATTGAACACCTTTTACCATGTGTGGCACACTTAAGCATTCTCATTCAACAAACCACTTAGTTAATGATTAAGCTTTAGTTCAACTTCACATTTCGACTCCAGTGATGACACGTGGAAAAAAAATCATATTTAATGAATTGCTGTCACTTTTTGCTTCCGATATTCATGGAATGTATTGCTCCCTACCACGTGTATCCATTGGCACATGAAGACAAATGTCTATTTATGCTAGGTGCAATCACTTATTGCACCATATACGACAAAATATCCGGTGACAAACCAAGCAGAAAAAACAAAACCAATAGCAAACTCAAATGTGTGATATGCCGGCTTCTAATTATGTAATACTTCAATAAATGCAGTACAAATATGGGAAAACAGTCACACAAGCAAGCACCAAATCGAAATCATATTACAAAGAAATCCATGGCGAAACACTCAATACATCAAGAGTAACATTCAACTAATAGGATAATAATGTCTCACCTCAACGTCTCTTTCCTTGCTCTGCAACGTATGCTCAGAAACACCATTCTCGTCCTTCTCAAAACTGGTTGAGGATTTTGCCACCGAAATCTCAGGATGGTTATCCGAATGCAAGTCACTTCTTGAGAAAAGCCTCTTTCTCTTGTATGTAACGAATACATTATGACTATTGCCGATGATCATTGTAGGATCTCGAGAAATCTCCTGCATTAGCACTACACACACAACACAGCACCACAAACATGTACTCAGCATCCTCACAATAAAAAATCCACAACAAAAATTGAAATGAAATTATCTAAATCGAAGAGGAAGTGGCCAGAAAAGAGATACACATTGCAGAGTGAATTAACAGTTAAACCAAACCACAATTTCACCAAAACCTTCACGCCCTAAGAAAAATCAAACAAACAATTAATTGATAAGGAGGAACAATCTGAACCATACAAACCTTCCCAATTCGACTACACAGAGATATATATAAAATCCAATCATCAATCCAACAATGGGTTCGAAAAGGCATTAGCATTTCACCATCCACCTCCAAAATCATCAATTTTTGTAAATGTTTACCAGAAAAAGGCAACTCAAAATCAGTTCGAACTCAAAGCGTGAAACGAGTAAAGCCCCAAGCTCCAAAGTCCCAACATTACGAAATTTCAGAGAAACAGAAAACCCCAGTTGGAGCAAAAACAACAAATCTGCGCAATTAAGAGATGAAATTAGTACGAACATAACATACGATTGATTACCAGACGGGGGAAGACGAGCAGCGGACGGAAGTGGAGAGTGCGGTGCGATTGGTGGGAGGGTTGGGTTGGTGCTGGTTTTGAAGAGAGTAGATAGTAGAGAGAGAGAGAGACAGAGAGGAAAAGCAGAAGAAGAAAGAAGGGGAAAAAGGGTGAATTAAATATTAGGAATTTAATTGAGAGACATAATACAGATAGAGAAACAGAAACAACACTTATTACATACAACTCTCTCTCTCTCTCTACCATTCTTTCAATCCAATCCAATCCAATCCTCGTAATAGTAAATGAAATCTTATTTTGAATTTTTAAAATAAATAAATAAATGAAATGAAAAAACATGTTTATTACAATCATTTCTCTTTTAATTTGAGGGAAACCAACGTGGCGTTTAGACAAATAGATACATATATTACTCCTTTACTTGCAGACGAATCCACTTTTTTATTTTATTTTTTAGTCAATTAAAAAATAACACTATTTTTCATCTCTTATTTTTATTTTTATCTGTTTTATATATCATATTACTTTAGTTTTTTTTTTTAAAAAAAAAAATTATATATTTTAATTAAATTTAATTTTTAAAATTTTAATTATGTTGAAATATTTTAATTATTAAATTTTAAATTGTATTTTATCTGAATTTGAACCTATGACTTGATAACTTACACAAGAGATAAAAAGAATACTATTTTATTAATTAACAATATATATAATATATATTTATAATTTAAATAAAAATTAAAAATAATTAATATTAATGTGATTACTAAAAATAGATATTTTAAAATAAACCGACCAAAATAAAAATTAAAAAAAAAAAAAAAAAACAACGTTACTTCCGGTTGGAAATTGGAATAGGGGAGCGTATTTGTTCTTTTTTTTTTTTTTTTTTTTTACAAATTTGAAGTAGGTTTCATATAGAATATAATAATGTGTTGAAAATATAAAAAAATTAATATTTAATACTATTAAATTATACTATTTTCGTTCCGTGTTAAGTTAAGACGGAAATAGAGAATTTAGTATAAGTATAATTAATAAATAACTAAGAATATATACGTGAAAATAATTATCCTATAATATAAATAATTATAAATTAAATTAAAATAATTAATTAATTTAATTAAAATTATAAATTATAAAATTTAAAATTTAAAATAAGACTAATGTATGTAATTATTTTTTAAAAAAAAATGACATAAAAAATAAGACAGAAAAAAATAAAAATATGAATACAATAAGTAAAACATAGAGAATAATTTTTATAAATAAATAAAAATATATATACTTTATATTTATATTTTTCAATAGTATTATTAATAGAGAAATATATTCTAAAAAAAATGATAAAACGAACACACAAGATACATTTAGAGCTTTATTTATATGTGTTTTAATATTTTTAATAACATTAACATTTAGAGCTTTATTTATGTGTTTTAAATTTTTTAATAACATTTGTATTTTCATTTTGGTTATTATTTAAAGAAAATGACCTTTATTTATATATGTATATTTTAATCTTATATAAAATCATACTTCCTCCGTTATAGAGTCACATTTGTCTTTTACGTCATTGTACTTAACATTAAAAATATTTTTATATTTGTATAATTTTTTTGTACAAATGTTCTTCTATTAGTATTATAAGACACTAATGAAAGTATTTTTGTAATTTTTTTTTAATTTGTACTACGCTTTAATATAGTAATTAATATTTAAATATCAACATGCAAAAAGTAAATGAGACCCTTAAAGTCGGACCGATGTAATATTTGATATTATTTAAAATCAAACTCCAAATATAATTTTCTTTTATATTTTCAATTTTTAACATTATAAAGTAAAAGATTAAAAAAATTTAATACGATAAGTTTTATAATCTTTGTTAAAATTAAAATTGTAGTAATGAAATAATAATAACAATAATAATAAAGGAATGTATTACAAAATAGTCTCTCTGTCCAAAAGAGTTCTCTCGTTTTTTTATTTTCGTTTGTCGCAAAACAATTGTCATATTCACTATACAATAAAACTATATATATTTTTTCACAATATTTACACAAATGTCACTATAATAAAAGTTTTAAATAACACACAAATTAATTAAATTACCCCACCACCCTAATTAATATTCTACCCACCCTACTTAATTACCAACCACCCTCACTCTAACCCTAATTCTATTCTCTCTCTCTCTCTCTTGAGCGGCTCTCTTTGTACTTTGAGCTCTTCATTTTTATTTTTTTTTTCGTGTAAAAATTTTATCGCCGTTGCTATTTTCGTTGGTGAATCGATCGAAAAATTTCAAAAATAGCTTCTCCTCTTCAAGGCGAGCCGAATAAGCTGTCGGATTCGGCATTTTTGCGTCCTTTGCCGCCAATTGAGTTTTCTAATTTTCAGCTATGGTGACGCCGTCGTTGACAATTAAGTCGCCGCTGATTCGGAGTCAAATAGTGAAGAGGGGTTGGGTTTGGGGGTGAAGGAATGAAAATATCTTCTCTGTAAACCCCAAAAGCCCTCCATCGCTTGCGATGGGTTGTTGATGTTTCTTCCAATTCCTTGTCCGTTCGCTATGAAGTTGGAGGAGTACAAAAAATGTAAAAAATTCATAGTTAGTTGTTGTTTTAGAAATTGATTTTTCATTGTTTTCTTAAATCTACATTATTTGTCTACTATTCCTATTAAAATGTTTAGTTATTGATTAAATTTCTTTTTTGTTCGAGAAATCATTTGAAGGAAGCTGAAAATATGGAACTTCTGGGCTTTGTTCCAAGCACTACTTGTTCTGCGATTACGATTTTGGAGTTGAAATAGCTTGAACTGATACTTTTATATGTGCTACAACGTTCTTATATGTGATGCTACGTGAAACTTATATATTTGGTTGTTAGGAGTTTGAATATATGGAATATTATGATAAGAAATATGCTATTGATTGAGTAAATAAAGTTGTCATATAATTTACGAGATTTTGGAGACAATTCCATAATGTTTTTTCACTCGTAGATGTGTGCACGTTTCTGTCTTTCCGGTTATTCTTGTGTCATGTTAGCCATATATGAGAGTGATTTGATCACACTATATGATGATTAAATATAGGATAAGCTTATTTTCTGACCATTCGACGATGCATGTATTATATTAAAGTAATATCCACATCCTTAACCAACCCAAAAATTGTTGCATACCCAAGAATTGTTGCATACGATCAAATTCTACTTGATGATAACTTTAAAAAGTTTGAAAGTAGACATGTAGCTCGATGATAACAAACGTGAGAGTTATATAATATTTTGTCCATATATTACACAATGTCCTAAAAAGATTACAAGTATTTAAAACATACTGAAAATATATTTTACATACTTGAAATATCATAGTTACAAAATACTCATACCTAGTGGTTTGATGTATGTACAAAATCATCATTTTTTCGTACAAAAACACCGATCTTAAGTCATACTCTCCACGAATGTGACGAGCTGCTCAATGCCCGCGGCTTCATTGTGTGTTTGTTTGGGGGATTGGATTTTAAATATACTATTAATTCCATTTTTTCCCCCAAAAAATATCAAATCAAACACCTATTTTTTATTTTTTATATTATACTAAAAATCAATTTTCGTTCAAAATATCACATCAACACCTATTTATATCACATCATACAACTATTCAAATTCAAAATTTTTACTATTCAAATTTCAACTCAAAATCCAAACCCCCAAACAAACACACAAAGAACTATTCTAATATGGACTTGACTATTTTTTGGTCCACCTTCGAATTGGTAGGGAGTAAACTTTTCTTGCAAGTGTTGTTTTGCCTATATGTGATATCTTGTAGTCGTTGTCACCTTGACACTTGAGAATCTCCGTTATACTCATTTGTAATGTAATGAAATCATTGTTAAGATTTGTGTTTAATAGTTCTTCAAAAGAATTGATAACGGCTTTTAGTAGTTCTTCCACATTGGAGTTTACTTTCGAAACTTGTAAAGATTGCAATAATCTAAACCACCCTAGATCATTTATATTTGTACATGGGTTGTTAGGCAGTTAAAGTACCAAATGGATATTAAACTCATCACTTCTTGTCACTTCCTGAAATTTTGGATCATTGTCCTCGATATGAAGCTTTGCATTATCTTGTTGTATGTAAGATTGTCTTAGAAGAATCACTATGCCATTTTTTTTAAATTTTCGAAATCACTTATAAGTACAACACAATGATAATTAATAAATATTGGATTATTGTTAAGAGTTGTGCATCATTTAACAAAAATAGAATAAACAAGTTGTTTACCTCAGCTATCAATATTTGTTTGGTGGCTTCTTTTGTAATTGAGTCGAATAGTTTAATCTCCATTGTTCCGGGAGCCCTGTTACTAGAATTACGCTTCGCTTTTTTTTTTGAATAAAATTTCAATTTTTTCATTAAACACACACTCCCTGTGGGAACAATATAGGGGTTTTGATACGACACAAAGGAACACTACATTGGTAATGAACTTCTTATTTTGACAAGTTCTATACAGTTCAATCTCATGAATTCTAGATAGTATCTATAATTCTCCTTATATAAGTTAAACCATTTTTTGTTTTTTGATCGGATAAGTTAAACCATTTTTCACAGTATGCACGGTGTTGTACATGCTTTTGTACATTATGATGTTAGATTCTAATACAACCTCCAATGCTTGGAGGCAAATCGTAGCCGACTTGTCTTGTTCTTCTCGATTAAGTTTGATTTGATTGTATTTGTGTATGTTTTGAATAATCCATCTTTGTACCATCTCCCAACATTACTTTTGTTTACTTTTAACTCTTTAGAAATGCTCCCATAGGTACCTCTTTTTTTGCAATGGATTTTTTTTCCAAACTATTGGCATCGAATGAATTTGGCCTTCCTATGCCGATTTTCCGATATGTCGAAGGCATATTGTTACTTGCCTTATATTGCTCTTTCGCTCTTTGCCAAATGTAGTTGATTGTTCTAGTTGAACATTCAAATTTTTGGCAGCCTCATTAATTTTGCCACGATGGGACTACGCATTGAATGAATTTTGCCACAAAAAAAAAAAAAAAAAAAAAACTATTTGATTGAGCTATTCTATACTAAAAATCGTGGTATTTGTGTGTTACTTGGTTATTTATAGAAGGTTATTGAGGGGGAAAAAAATAAATTTATATTGAAGGAAAATGATTTATTGCTCTTTTTTGGGTTTGGAGGGATATAATGATGATTATATCAATAATTGGATTGTTTCTTATGCTTTATCCTCCAAAACATTATGCAAAAATAATTTTTTTGATGAATTTTTGTGGAAGCACGATGTTCTTATAAAATCAAAATATATTATAGGTTTTTGTAATGACCAACTTGATACATTCTTTAAGTTGCTTGTTGTGCCGTGTATATCTACATAAAATGTTCTACTGGTGTTCCCTATCATGACCGCTCCGACATTAATGTAATTTTATTTTAATTATTTTTTTTTGTTAATTGAAAATATCAAATATATTTAGCCGATTTTGGGCGATTAATTTTAAATTTTTGTTAGTATTTACATTTTATTTATTTATTTTGGTACAAATCAAATTGTAATTATCATTTTAATCTATTTTTTTCAACCGTTCATAAAATAAGGATAATTTGATCATTTACATTATATATTATACTCACTTAAAAAAAAATACTATTATCTTTTAAATTTTTGTATCAATTCCGATAAGGCATTTCTTTTATGAGCTGTGGGAGTATTATAATGGTGGAAAGAATCATTAAAAAGTTGCAAATGATTATACACCATTAATTATATGGTTGGTTTATTGTTATTTACTTCTTTGCTTTGTTATTATATTATACTTTTTCCACGTCTCATTTCAAATTAGTTATTTGTTCTTTTTAGTGATTTGTAAAAAATAATTGTATTTTATTTGTTCGTAGAAATATGTAAAATAATTTTGATATATTTTATTATAGTAAAGAAAATAAATAGTTTTTATATAAAAATATGGATATATTTTGTATTTTTATGTGAATTGCTTTTATTATAAGAAAAAAAAATTAAGTGAGAATTTAAACACACGAACATTGAATAAGTATTTTTATTTATTTATTTATTTTTTTCAATCAATATGGCATTGTAGCTTGTATTTAAGATTGGAATTCTCCTCTTTAATTAAATAGTCAAATATTTTAGGGTTTGTTTCTTTTGGCTCAATTTGGGAAAAAAAAAAGTACACGGTACCCTAAATAGTACTCCACATTTCACTATCACAGGTACCAAACACACCTTGAATTCTTTAATTGGAATTTTAACTTTAAATACTTCATCCGTCCCTTAATAATTTATCAATTTTTTTCATTTTCGTCAGTCTCATCACAACGTATTTATTTTCATTTTTTAGTTACTTACTATCTATCTAACGTTACAAATACCCTTTCAATTTACAATATATTACACAAATGTCATTATCTTTATGTCATACAATACTAATAAGGACAATTTAGTCTTTTTACTTTTACTTATACTATATTCCAATGTAATACTAATATTCCTAAAATTTCGTACAAAAAGTAAATAGATATATATATGGGACGGAGGGAGGGAGTATAAGGAAAATTGCAAAAAAATATCATGTAGGTCAAATATTATTTTCGAATATTTTTTTTTTCACTTTCGTAATTTAGGATATTATATGTACTTTGGACATTATTTTTGTTCTCCAGCGCCGGAAAAACGCTAGTGACCGTCACATGTGCCTTCGTGGCATTACCGGCGCATACGTGGACATCGTCGCTGTTGTGTTGTCGTCCGCGTGGTAGTCGGACAGGTGACGTGGAATTAATTTTTTTTTTTCACTTTCGCAATTTAGGATATTATGTGTACTCCAAGTATTATTTTTGCCTTCTGGTTCCCAAAAAATAATTTGTTTTAGGGTAATCGGATAGGTGACGTGGAATTATTTTTTTTAAAAAAAAATTATATATTTTTAAAATTTTAATTTATCCTAATTAGACCAAATTGAAATAAAAAAATCTAACACAAATTATTTTTTCGGCGTTAGAGGGCAAAAATAATACTTGGAGTATACATAATGTCCTAAGTTGCAAAAGCAAAAAAAAATAATTCCACGTCACCTGTCCGACAACCACGCGAACGACAGGACAGCAACAACGATGTCCACGTATGCGCCGGCCATGTCACGAAGGCGCACGTAACAGTCACATGCGTTTTTCCGGCACCGAATGGCAAAAATAATGTCCGAAGTACACATAATATCTTAAATTGCAAAAGTGGAATAGAAGTGTTCGAAAATAATAATTGGACCTAAACCTAAGACATATTTTGCAAGCTTTCCTTAAATATATTAATGGCAATTTTATTTAAACGTTGTTCATTATTATTATTATTTTAAATACATTCAAAATAATAATTAATGATGTCCCAACAAAAAAAAAAATAGTGTGTTCTTTTAGTTAAAATCTTTTCACATATTTTTCAAAAAAAACAATAATATATCATGCATATTCATTTTATATTATCAAAACTCGTTCCTAACTATTATAGAGCTCGGGAAAAAATAAAAAATAAAAAACGAGCCTTAATAATTTTTATTAATGTAATTATAGAAAATGTTAAATTTAAATTTAATAATAAAATTATTTTTATATATCAAAATATTAAAAAAAAAAAAACGAGCCTTAATAATTTTTATTAATGTAATTATAGAAAATGTTAAATTTAAATTTAATAATAAAATTATTTTTATATACCAAAATATTAAAATAAAAAGAGTGTATTTGTTAATATTTTTAGTTGAAAATATATTTTTTTTATGCTAAATACGACTAAACATATCAATAATATAAAAAATACTAATATTTTTGTTGAAATGTTAATTTTTATTTTTATTTTTTTGAGTTGATAGAATATACTTATAATATATATAGTGTGATCATATATGCATATATTGTATTTTATGATAATATTAATTTTAAAGTATGTCAAAATAATTTATTAAAAATTATTTAAATTAAATAAAAATAATTTTCGTGTTCGAAAATATTTTTGTGTATTTTAAAAATAATAAAAAATTTAAATTAAAAATTGTTTAATTTGAATAATAATAAAAATATAAATTAAATTTTTAAAAAAACAGTATAATTATTTAATATTATAAAATACACCGTCTTTTAAAATTAAATAAATATAATATTAAATATACATAGATAATAAAATAAAAGTAACAAAAATATATAAAATATAATTCATTATGATAACTTTACTAAATTCCATATCTCACAATAAAAATAAAAAAATTATAAATATTAAACACACTAAAATACAAATAAATACATAAGTAAAAAATTAATTAAAATTAAAATAATTTATTTAAAAATAGATATAAAATTTATTTATTTATTTTAAAACATTAAATATAGTTTCAAACAAATTTATAATACTATATTGTCAGGACGGGGTCTGATATTACCTATACAATTTCTTATAACTCGTATACAAAAAATATTTTCAAATTATTTTACAAAACAAACACACCCAAAATAAATAATAATGAATTGAATGCGGGTTCAAGAATATCATTGTACAAATTTTTGTTCACTTATTAACTTATTTTTCTGTGACACGATTTTTCATAAATATTTTAAAATTATATAATAAGTATATATTAATATTGTTAATCGTGATTTGGATTTAGCGATCTACCAAGCCAAAAAGGTTGTTTCAATTGACAGAGTTTATTTTGGATTTATCCTAATTAATAACAAATGGCTTAGGTTTAAGGTGTTTTTTGGATGCTTATAAATAGATAGCTATACTTCCTATGATTATAGTGTTATTTATTTGCTTTCTTTTTCGTTTTCTTGTAACAAATGATATCAGAGCCATATTTGATTAATTGAAAATGTCTTCGTATAAGTTTGATTTAGAGAAGTTTAATGGGTCGAATGACTTCACGCTCTAGAAGATCAAGATGAGGACAGTTTTGGTTCAACAGTAATGTGCGGTTGCGTTGGAAAAAAAAGGCAAGTTTCCTAAAAATACAAAGGAGGAGGTGAAGAAGGAGATTTTGGCAAAAGCTCATTCTGCGATCTTGCTGTCAATTACGGATGAGGTGTTACGGGAGATTGTAGATCAAACGATAGTTCTGGGTTATGGGATAAATTGTGTAAGAAATACCTGAACAACTCTCTCACGAACAGGCTATATCAGAAGCAACGATTCTACACCCTCCGCATGTCTGAAAGTACTCCGGTAAATCATCTTGATACCTTTAACCGTATTATTCTTGATCTTCAAATGGTTGAGATTAAAATAGATGATAAAGATCAAACTCTAATTTTACTGTATTTAGTGCCTAGTTCATATGAGAATTTTAGAGATACTATGTATATGTATATAATAGAACTACAATTTCTAATAATGATGTGAAAAATGTTGTATGTCCAAAGAATTGTGAAAAGTTTCAGGGTTCTTATTTAGGTCTATTTGGAGGTAAGGGAAGATCAGAGAGAGAGTAATAGGAATGAGATGTCGCGTTTAAAAGAAAATTCTCAAGCAAAGTTAGGTATTATCTTTGCAAGGAAAAGAGACACGTTCGAGTATTATGATTCATTATTATTATTATTATTATTATTATACAAATATTATGATTCAAAACCAAAAAACTACAAGCAGCTAAAAAATTCAAAATTTCCCATAGTAAAATAATTTTTTCGAAGTTTATTACCGAAAATTTTTCTTCTCACAAAACATCCTATCAAACAATATTTAAATACAAAAACTTAAATCAAAACCTCACAAACCAAACTCAAAAGAAACATTCGAGTCCACAAGTAGTTATTCATGTACACAAATATATCCCGTAAATTCTCAATTCAATACATAATTTAGACGATACTCAGACGTTCTAATTCTAGTCACTCTTGCTAAATAAATTGCCGGATGCAAACAAACAAAAAAGAACAGAAAGCAAAAGCAGCTTCAACCAAATATTCGACACGAAGAATAATCAAAAAAATAAAATAGCAAGCAAGCAAGCAACGGAGAGTGTGTATATGCACATGAACTTGTAAATGCATTGGGGAGATATGTACTTACATTGCAGCATCAGCAGCAGCATACTGGGAGCAGCAGCAGCTAAAAATGCACTGGCACTGTCCCGTCCATCCCTATGATCACTCGGGAAATAGTCTCTCACTGCAAAAAGAATATCTTTATGCATCAATGCTGAAAATGAGTCGCAAAATGGCATATTTAATCAATAAAAGAAACTTATTTCTACCATTAGAACACTATTATGAAATCCACAATTAATATCATGTCTAGAAGAGAAAAGATAGTGTTTCTTTAAGGCTATGATCTCTATTATTTATACTAAAAAAATTCACTGGAAACATCACTCTGCATTTATTTATATCATATTAAATACTACTTCCAATTCAAATTTTTAAACAAACACTAAAATCAAAAAACTTAAAATCGATATTACCCTTTTCAAAGGGCATATTCACAAGTAAACCTTCAATTAGATAATTTTTAGTCCAGTGGTTAATAAGAAAATTCATCACAAAAACTCTTCGCATAACCAATGAGGCCAAAGAAGGAAGAAAAGAGTGGCAGTCAAATTAAAACTGAAAATAAACTTCTTGCAGGCAGAAACACATTTTAACCCAAAATTTTGATATTTGTCTTGTAAGTAAACTTACTTTCGGATGCTGAGAAGAATAGGGTTCCTCAAAAAGACTTAGAATAATTTAAGGGCCATCTTGAGCTTGTTTTGCTTCCACTTGGGTAACTTGTAGAAAGCATCCATGGCCATACCAAATTTCTCTTTAAATTCGACCGAGGAGAGGTAAGTCTGAAGAACAAGCAAAATAAAGTTTTAGTATCAAAGGAACGAAAAAGAAAACTATGCCTTTGACTCTATTACACATACCTCTCGCTTCGTCACATCAATATCTGTAATAGGATCGGTTGATGTTGTCTTAAGAAGCTCATACGGATATATAGGACGCCCTTCATCACTTTCGACTTTGTTCTCCTTCACGTCTTCCTTGGTGATCTCTGGCTTAGGTTTTTCAACTGAGTTTTGCTTAAGCATTGTTGGAGGAGGTTTTGATTTGGGCAGCTCAGGGCTCACTTTAAGAAAAATGGGAGATTTTGATGAGTATCTCGATAAAAGGAGTTGATTGAAGAAAGGTTGAGAATTTATACCTTTGGGAGAACGCGGGATGAGTACTTGCCGAGCAGGCGGTGGCTGTTGCTCAAAAGTTGAACTTAGTGCTGCTATAGCTGCAGATTTTGCAGCCAGTTTTCCGGAATCGGGTGTTACGGATTTTGGATACACTTTTGTGACCATCGGAGGAGGAGTCGACAGGTTCCTTGCGTTGGGTTTCTCAAAATTTGCAGCAAGTGCATTGAACTGAGGGGACCTGCCTCTAACACGAACCCTGTCTGGGCTGAAAGACATGCTTCTCGTACGTTGGGATTTATCGGGAACTGCAGATCTTCCCGTGTGCGTGGTGGGTGATCTCCTTTTTGGTTTCTGTTGTAACAAACACATAAGACGCATATAGAATAATATTGTCCAAGAAATAAATATAGCTACAACAGATGCGGCTCTCAATATATACTTATAGGTGAAACGATAGAACACTAAATGCATCTCCTCCCACGAGCTTGCCTCTTTATCAAATTTTCTTAAAAATATAAAAGCTTCTGATAAAAGAATGCACAGACCAATAGCTAAAAGTTCTTACATCAATTGCCGGGGCACGCCCATTTTTAATCATTGCAATTTTTCTTTGGAAAGAGTTTCCACGCATCTGTAACCGAACAAGTTACTTGAGTAGAGTGTATAGCTCGGTATATCAAGGAGAAGGATGTAGAATGGTGGAACTTACTGCAGATTTCGATGAGTCCCATGAGAAGAAACGAGTGAAATACATTGGCTCACTCCCTTCCATAACCACGTATACCGGAGCTTTGTCAGATAGTTTCTCGTGAAGAAAATCTTGCTCCAAAAATTTCTGTCCGAAAGCAAAAAATACATGAGATTAGTCGCATCAAGTGATCAAACTACTCACACACCATGAATTAAATTGAAACAATCTTCAAAACTAAAATAAGAAATTTAGTTGAAAACAAACCTCTCCAATATTTAAAGCATTCATCTTATTCTTGGCGTCCACCTGTTGTCCAACCCAAACATATATGTCCGAATGGCAATCAAGAATGTATATGTCTTCCGTCATTAGATCATCTTGATCAAAATTGTATATTTCCATCACCTGCGATAGAAATTTCGTTTCACTTCAAAGAGTCCATGAAAGGATAAAAACAGAGAGATATTCGACGATTAGTTGTCCTTGGATAATTCGAAGATGTTAGAGATATACAGACCTTGATGTCTCCTGAAAGCCAAGTTGAATTGGAGCCATAGTAGATACGCAGTCAAATCAACAAAAAGAGTCAGATGATTTTGAAAAATGAATTGAACACGAGAAAAATAAAAACAGAACACACACACAGACATAATGATAAGATGATTCCGTACCCTGTGACAATGTGCAGGAGAATAGATGGGGATCACTCTCGGGATTTCCAGCAATTTTCTTGCTCGGGTACTCAGATTTCCCACCCAACATGTCCCAAAACCGCTCAAATTCAGCACCTTCTTTCAGCAGTTTAGGTTGCACATTTGGCTGCAATTACAAAATGTGATGAGCAAAGGTGCTATAGAAATATCCACCAACAATTTATGCAATAATGTTCAATTGTCTATAGTTCATTCTTTTTATTCAAGCACGAGTTGAGAAATAAATGAAAGAATGATATTTAAGCCAAAAACATAACCAGTTATGCCAAACTCACAATGAGAGAAAATATCCATAAATTCACACCATACCTTTAGAAGATCAAGCTGCCTTTCAGCAAGTTCCTGGGCTTCAGGCGATGTTAGAATTCCTGACCAGGTAAACACAGAGGGCCCGTTGTGTAGTATGTAAGAGTAGGAGGAATTCAATGATGAAGCCACCTGAACCATTAAACGTGTCCATAAGCCCTCAGCAGCATAGACCAAAATATATAGGGATGCTAAGACATATTCAGAGTTTATTCAATAAGACTAAATGAAACAAAATGGGACATGTCTTACCGGTTCAACTTGAATTGCTTGCATATTTTCCGGCCCACTTCCCTGGACTCGAAATAGTGCAAGTCCTTCTTCTGTATAAGTTTCATTTGGAAGTCCATGCTCGGTAATATAGTTTTTGTAGCCCTTACTGAGACCACCCTGGCAACATCAAAGCAAAATTATTTCATGCCCAATATATACAAAAAATATAAATATATATATATATATATATATAAGACTTGCATGAAAATGGAATTGTTTTGAGAATAACAGTAGGGTTCCAAACCTTAAATACAATGAAGCACTGAAAAATGGCAAAGAACTGAATTGGCTCGTGCCCGTCATGGATTCGGACCTGGTACATAGTGCCAAATGGAAATCAAAATGTTGAAACAAACAAAAAGGTGAAATTTTGATGGACACATAAAGCATAAGAGAGTAACCAAGTAGCGTGCCTGAGTTGGCGTGAACTTCATAGACTCAACCATCTTACTCGCCAGTGAGGTTGCTGTTACCTTGTCTTCCTATTGAGCGCAATTAATAGAAATCAATATAGACTCATATATGCATTTAACATCCAAACCAAAATCACATAATGTTGTGTTTTTTACCTGGCCACATTTCATTGATTTCTTATGAGTACTTGATAAAGGATTTTCATGAATGTGTGGAGTGATGCTCAGATTTTATACCTTCAAGTTTTTTCTTTTATCACTAAAAGAGAACATGACCACTACAACAATATCATAATCATAGACGAATTGCTTTAGAGTGTTTGCCTATGACTCATTTGAGTTTTGTACAAACAGGTGCATCATATAAGTTTCTTTTGCGATTAAATTTATACAAGCTCCTAACTTTCAAAACTGTATGCCTTTAACTTTCTTAGTACATAACTCGTTCGTCATGTCTAGAATCTGCATGAGAAGATTTCGTTTAGTATTCAGTGTTTACGTCTAACGAGATGTAATTGCAACACACCTTTCTTTTCGTGGCAGCATATTCATATTATTCATTATTACAACTTCAAAATTGCCTAAAACTTTTCAGAAGTGAGAAAACCTATGAGTCTATTATATAGGCTTATACAAAAACACGAGTTTACCTCAACACTTTGCTTTCCCAGCCATGTCCCTATAAGGTGCTCATCCTTGTAGTCTCCAGGATATGAATATTGAAATATATAGCTATCGCCACTGTAGAATCTATATTGATCAGAACCCGTAAGACGAGTCTTCTGTTGACCATCCACACGCCAGACCTAATCATATTGACCAGCAAGAGGAAAATTCAGTAGAAGAGCAAGAAAAACCTGTAATCAATTACATGCCTGATTCTATAGCACAAGGGACAAGTCATAAGCAACCAAGTTACTCAGAGGGAGACTTTCTAAAACACCCCCCGCTTTATATCTTACATTTTGATTTTGTTCGACTACCTAATAGACTTTGTTGCAGCATCTCCTTCGACAGAAATTATATGTGAATGTGTGAATCTACTTTCTCGAGAATCTTTAGTAAGATAAACATAACACAAAGAAAAATGAAAAAGGAGAAGAAGAAGAATTTCAAAAACACTACAAATCGAAAACACCCTGACGAGCATTTGCACATCACCTGTAAATCTCCTGTACAGTCTATGTGTGGCTGAGGTTCTTCTGTAGGAGTTTCTGCTTTCAGAAGTCCCTTTACGTTAAATCCTTGGCGTTTTAGAAGTGCTAAAAAGTATTAACAGGAAGTAATAAGACATCCACAAAAAGGTAGGAATGTTTGCCGTTAATAAACTATTTTGAATGTCAGCACTAGTCAGCTACACATGTAACTTACATGCAACTTTTCCTCGACCATCCTCAGTCACAGCTACATTACTGGATTGAGGCCATGATTCAAACTTTGAACGAAATGTCTGTGTTTCAAAACCTTCAATCACACGGATTACATGAGATTTGGATCTATCAAGGTTGCGTAACAATTCCTGCAAATGATATGAACTATAACTTAATAAACAATCATCTGGGTACAAAATTTAGAAGAAAAAATTGAATGGACTCAGCTAGCCTTACGTCAACAGCACCAACTGCAGATTTTCTCCCAGTAAGAGAAGTGCTTCTGCCCATCCAAAGAAAGACTTCTGTCCCACAATCGAGAACATAGCATCTGTGTGTGTCTAATGACTCCCTTGTCAAAGAATCAGCCTGAACTGGAACAGTCTCTCCTTTCTCAACACTTGAACATTAGAGACAATTGTTTATCAGAACCTAAACTTTGGAATTCCATGGTTCCTCCATGCCAAAAATAATAGTGGAGCAAAAAGAACATACTAGTAAAGCTTAGAAGGAACGTCTGTACTCTTGGGTTCTTCAGTCGACGATTTTCTTGGAAGTGGAGCAAAACCACCGAAGAAGGTCCAAAATTCTCCAGTGTCAGCATCAGCCATTAATTTTCCATCTTCTGCACTTGAAAGAGAAGACAGCCATTGAGATCTAACATTAGTTATCAGCATTCAAAAATCCAATGAAGGGAATATTTACCAATAGCAGCTATTTCACATTTTCCATCGTGATATGTATCTTTAATGTATTGAACAACTTCCAAGGCTTTAGCCCTCTCTTGAATGGATGAGTTGGACCCATTGAACTGGAAAATTTTGGACTTTGTATCGAGAATAAAAACATCATCATGATTGAGAGTGGAACGAGCAAAAGGCACCTATGTAACCATTCAATGAGAGTATCACCCCGCCTGTAATAAGAACAACATCACCATGTGTTCATAAGGTACAAGCTTACCTCTTTCACACGAACAACATGCTTTCCTTTACATACATACAAACGAGTTTGGTGCTCTTCTTCCTCGACGTGCTTGAATCCAGAGGCTATTCCTCCTACTTGAGGCATTATACATGGCTTGAAATAAGAAAGAAATTTCTCCGTTTCATGGCCCTGAACTTCACGGTATTGAACAGCACGCCCACCCAATGCTGCATCTAATTCAACAGTTTTTATGGCGGCAGTTCCAGCTTCATCCTGAAAGGGACAAATTTGGTAAAGTCAGGAAATACATTGCAAAGTACCAAATAGCAAAAAGGTAACATAAATGGAGTTACCTGACTCGTGTCTTTACCAAGCCAGTAATGAATATCATGATGTAGGACACCATTTTTTAATGCAGTGGTCTGCAGAAGTGAAACTAACGGTTATGATAAATATATATGTCCAAAGGCACGAAGAATAATCTTAGGATGGATACAGAACAGTAGAGAAGATATTTCATGAAATATTCTTGCACAGGCTCAAGAAAACAACAAGAATACAGCATTGCATTAAACCCTGTCCAATATGTACAGGGTTCATAGCTTATTATCAAAAACAAGTTTGATGCATTAGAAGAAACAAGAAAATGTTGAAAGATTTACTTTTAAAATAGAAAAAGCATAGATAACAAACACACAAATACAAATGCCGAACCAATTAGGCAAATAAATATAGAGATATAGAGATGGGATGGGAGACACATCTGATTAGCTTGTTGTACTCCACACCACAACCAATGGAGAGTAATAGGATAAGTCCAGAGTGAAAAGGACAATTTTACCTTTAAAATCACATAGGAATCTCCAGTAAAAAATTTTCCACAGGCTGATTTTGGTACTGGAACAGGATTAAAATTTTCAATTCGCCATATCTCGATGCCACTAAACTATGTCAAGGAGAAAAATATACAATAATATGCACTGGCCTGATACTGATCTGTAAGAGAGGTTTAAAACAGGAGCACTAATGGGAAAATGAAAAGCATTTAATCTCTATGCACTGCTCATGCCTACCACGACTTGATTAAGAAAATCCTTGTAGAGAGTAATAAGAAAACATAGAGAATACAACTTTATAAAAATATGCAAATATTCAAATATGAAATAAGGATACGCTTTCTGCCCTGCCCCCTGGAACGCAGGATCAACATCTCTCATTGACACAGACATTTTGCTTCTGTAACTTCAATAAAACCAAATTTTCACCTGAAAATAAAATTTACAATAATGTGATAATGGAATCTGCCTGTATAATTACAAAGGCATAATCAGTAGGACAAAGATGAAATAATCAATGTGATTTGTCACATCCCATCCACTAAAGTGAATAAACCCTAAAAGTAGTGGAATCAAAGACACTTGAGACATCGAAGCAGTCAATCTAAAGAATATTTATCTCAATATATCAGCGACCTTACTACACTAAAGCCTGATTAAATCCATTAAAAAAGGACCGAAGAAGGCAATTATTTATGGTAGAAGTATCAAGAAAATGCATAGAAAGGGGAGAAAATTGCAGCACTCACTAATAGTGTTTCTTTTTAGGAGTAGGTTATGGCCGAAAATGAACTCTTAGAACCTGTAATAACCAATGGCACATTCTTTTTAGAAAATCTCTATAGCTCCAACTCAGATCAAATCTTCCCGCTAACAAGAGTATTTCCTTCCTCATCATATTAAACACAAAATCTCAGAAGAATGAAACAAGAACTTCTAAGCAGCACAATCTATATAGTATAAGCCCGACACAGAACATCTCGATCACGTAATATTTACTCAAAGATACTACTTTTTCAGCCATGCCAAATACAAGAAACATCATTGAAGATCGATTTCTTGCTTAACCCCATAATCTAAATTCATATAGACTTTCCAAAAGGACGCAAAACAATGTGGGGTGCAACAGAAATATATCTTCAGATCCAATATGACAAGGTTCCAGAGATAATTCAAAAGCCCATTTCCGGACTGTATTTAATTAAAAAAAAAAGAACAACTTTATCACACATTTTTTCTCATTCATCAATGCTCTCATCCTAAATGGGGAACTCAGCTATTCATCAGTTCATCTTAAATACATAATAACTTCACTTTTTCACATAATTTAAGAGACAGGTGCACCCACTTTAACCTCGCAATATATAATTATAGAATGCACCTACTACTTGCCAAGAATGTTAACTAATCAAACTTTTCCAAATTTACATGACCTTCACTAATCGAAGTTAGTCCCGAGTTCCTCAATATTATGAGGTAGAAACATGAAGCAATGAGCATAAACCTCATGACAACTTAATCGCAAGCTTGCTGAACCACATAGATCCATCTTAAATATGTTACCTCTACAATTAAATTGAACTTCAGACACAGTTAGATGAATTCAGGCTGCAATTGAGTTTATTAGTTACCTCAAATGCTGTGGCGAGCGCCAATGCAGGTCACAAGTTCACCAAATCAATTCAGACAACGGCTGAATTCTCAGGGTCCTCTTCTTCTTCAACCCACGATATTGATGGTGCTGCTGCCAGCCACTGATCAGGCTGCTCCTATCATCCGCTAGTCAGCTGTAGATCCAAAGTTGCAGGCCCAATCTAAACAGCCGGAACCAACCCCCGGAGCTCTGCACGTCACCAGAGGTTGCCGGAAACCCAATGCGGAGTCGTGCGCCTCCCCTTACAGGATTTCAGGCCACAACACACGGCCGCCGGCCGCAACAGAAACTCGGACTAGAGAAATCCAGCCAACTCCAAGACTGAGAAATTATAGAAATCCAAATCAGATTCAAGAATTGCCAGAAAATGTAGCACAGGAGTGCAGAAATTCAAATTGAAAATTGTTCAACAAGAAACTCAAATCTCCCCAATCACTAAAAAGTCAGGCGCAAAAATCCAAATTCGTAAATCCATCATCCAACATAGGCTAATCTAATTACCTCTCTTGGTCACTGACGAATAAATGTATCCCTCAAACAGATCCAATCCAATGACTCATCTCAAATTGACCAGGATCACGAAACCTCCCCAGATTTCCCCTAAACAGTAAATGGGAGATGTTTCTCGAGAAAAAATGGGAAAAGGGAACACTACAGAAATTCTACAGACAGAGATTTTTTCTACCGAGAAAAGTGCGTGTTTGTATGAGAGAGAGTGGAGGGAATGATGATGAGTTGCCCTGACAGGCGTGCCATTCACAAACAAGAACTAAAATAAAACGCAAGCAAAAGGAAAGAAAATCCCTTTCTCAAGAACCAACCACAACACAATGAACTGTAAAGGATCGATGTACATAATTCATAAACCCCTTAATAATTTCTGCACTTCACTGATCCCTCCCTCCAATCCCCCCAAAAAAAAGCCCTTCGGATTCGGAAACCAGCCGCAAAATTTTAAATGCGATTAAAGAAATGGAGCGAGCCGGCAGTCCGTCGAAAGCGGGGAAAAGTGGATGGGGAGAGGGCTTAGAATACAAAAGGAGAGGGTGGGTGGGCCGACCGGGAATTCAATTTTCAATTTTGGTGCTGACTTTCCGAAATGAGGGGGAATGAATGAATGAGATGGAATTGAGGGTTGGTGAAGTGCCATCATTCATGACTGACCACAAAGGGAAAAGCAGAAAGGGATTCCCCTCACCTCACCTCCCGCCCTCTCACTTGTCGTTCGTTGGCTGTTTGCTCACTGGATCGACGATGATCTGGCTAGATCCGCCATGGCTGAATTGCTGCTGCTGCTGGGGACCGCTGTGTAGAGAGAGAGGATGCCGGGACGGGACCACCCCTGGACGTTTATATTAATTATAAAAATTGTTAATGTTAATTAAGGAAAATGTGATTAATTGATTTTTAATGACTATTAAATCAAGGGTTTCTTTATTTATTTTAGTGTAATTAAACATAGGAATTAATATTTGTATTATATGTCAACAATAGGCACTGTCCGAAAATCGATTCGACCGGCAAATAGTGTCATTTTAATATGAAAGTGAAATAGATAAATCAAATGAAACGTATGTATAATGAGAAATTTATTGAAAGAATGATCAAAAATAATAAATTAATAAAAGTAGTAATCAAATAATTATTATGTCATAATTTTAACAGATGAAAAATAACATTATTAAAATGCATTTATAACATGGGGTTCAATCTAATTACTATATAATTGATAGATGAAATAATGAAAAATTATTAATAGATAAACTTTAGTTACGGGAAAAAATCAATTTTGGTCCCAATATAATCAAAATTAATTAATTTTGGTCCCAATATAATCAAAATTTATCAATTTTTGTCCCAATATAAAAAACTCATCAATTTTGGTCCCAATATAAACAATTTCAATCAATTTTGGTCTCATTATAAACAATTTTTATCAATTTTTGTCCTACCGTTAAAAAACTAACGAAAATTGCTGACGTGGACATGACGAAGGTGACGTGGCAGTTGACCTGGAAAGTACACGGCCATGTACAATTATACACGGCCATGTTGTTACATGGCCATGTATATTTCAGTGTATAATTATACATGGTCATATTGTTACACGGTCATGTTGTTACAGGGTCATGTATATTTCAGTGTATAATTATACATGGTCATGTTGTTACACGGCCATATACAATTATACACGACTATGTTGTTAAATGACCATGTATATTTCAATGTATAATTATACATGACCATGTTGTTACACGGTCATGTATAATTCTACACGGCCGTGTATCTTTCTGTTTCGGTCTAAAATTTTAATTTTTTGTTATATTTTTAATTTTTTTTTTTTTTTGAATTTAGAATAGTTAATATAGTTAAAATGGAAAATAATAATAATAATAATCATAATATAATTAAAATATATCAATTTTAGTTCAAATATAAGTATTTATCGAGTATGTTCTTTTGGAAGATTTTGTCTAAAATTATACTATTTAGCAAAAATTTCAATACATTAATTGGATATTTGTAAGAGAAATTTTTTTGCTAAATAGTAGAATTTTAGACAAAATCTTCCAAAAGAACATACTCGATAAATACTTATATTTGAACTAAAATTGATATATTTTAATTATATTATGATTATTATTATTTTGTTTTCCATTTTAACTATATTAACTATTCTAAATTAAAAAAAAAAAAATTAAAAATATAACAAAAAATTAAAATTTTAGACCGAAAAAGAAAGATACACGGCCGTGTAGAATTATACATGGCCGCGTAACAACATGGTCATGTAATTATACACTGAAATATACATGGTCATGTAACAACATGGCCGTGTATAATTGTACATGGCCGTGTAACAACATGGCCATGTATAATTATACACTGAAATATATATGGCCCTGTAACAACATGGCCGTGTATAATTGTACATGGTCGTGTATAATTGTACATGGCCGTCTAACAACATGGCCATGCATAATTATACACTGAAATATACATGGCCATGTAACAACATGGCCGTGTATAATTGTACATGGCCGTGTACTTTCCAGGTCAACTGCCACTTCACCTCCGTCGTGTCCACGTCAGAAATTTCCGTTATTTTTTTAACGGTGGGACCAAAATTGATAAAAATTGTTTATAATGGGACCAAAATTGATTAAAATTGTTTATATTGGGACCAAAATTGATGAGTTTTTTATATTGGGACCAAAATTGATAAATTTTTTTATATTGGAACCAAAATTGGTTAATTTTGATTATATTGGGACCAAAATTGATTTTAACCGTAAAAAAGAAATGTAAAATATCACTTCTCTTACCAAAAGAATTAAATTATATTGCCAAGTAAAAAGTGGTATAGCGATTGACTATTATGTTATACCCAAAATTTATTCAATGTAAATTTATTTTTAGAACTTAAAAATAAAAAATAAAAAAATAAAAAAAAACCAAAATTTATTCAATGTAAATTTATTTTTACTGTTTGGTTGTGATTTGAGTTTCAAATCACCATTATTTAGTAAATATGGTTTTTAATAAAAATATATTATTTTTTCATAAAATATTATATTAAAAATACCTCTTTCTGTTATACACGTGTGCTACGTATTAGATATGTATGATTAATTTTACCTTCTTGTTAAGATTATCTGCCTATATATATGTCTGTTAATCAAAGGAAATAAACACACTCATTTTTGCTCTGCTCGCCCTATCATTATTACTATTATATTATTATATACATATACACTAACGCACACACCCAAGATAATATATATATATATATATATATTGGCTAATCCTATAATAATATTACAACACATTATCATCACGATTATATATTTTATTTTCCGCAATGTAATATTTTATATTTTATCTGTTTATTATGTCTAACCTTGCCAAACAGGAATTTCTCCCTCTTCTCGTTTCTGGCCAAAATTATATGACATGGCCTCGCGATGTTAAAATGCATCTGGCATTAATGGGCTTAGAAAATATCATTGCCCAGGATAAAAACTCCTTGAGCCAAGATCGTGCAAAGGCCATGATCTTTTTGTGCCATCACATCGATGAGACATTGAAAATGCAGTATGTCACGCTGTAATCCTCACTTGAATTATGGGAGAGATTGAAAGAAAGATATGATCATTTGAGGTTGAATTGTTGCCAAGGGCACGAAGTGAATAGCAAAGCCTACGGCTTCAGGACTTTAAAACAGTCCAAGAATATAATTCTGTCATGTTTAAAATAACATCACAGTTGCGCCACTGTGACGAAAATATATTTGAATCTGATATGATGGAGAAAACTTTCTCCACTTTTCATGCCTCTAACATGGTTTTGCAGCAGCAGTATCGCGAAAGAGGCTTCCAGAAATATTTGAGCTGATCACCTGTCTTGTGCTGGCCGAACAAAATAATGATTTGCTGTTGAAAAATCACGAATCTGGGCTGATAGGTGCAAATGCATTTCCAAAGGCAAATGCAATACAACCGGCAAATCCGGTGCGTGGCCGTGGGCAAATCAGAAATCAAAGAATTGATCGCGATCGAAATTAGAATCGCGAACGGAGCCGGGCAAACGCATAAAGTCACAATAATTATCAAAACAGGCCCCGATATGTGCCAAATCGGCGTTATAATGATAGAAGGTCGTACAGACCTCAATAGAGGTTCAACACCGGGAGAAACAGAAACAATGACGAGGAATGCACCTAGTGTGGAATCAAAGGACATTGGGCCCATGTTTGTCGCACAGCCAGTCATTTGGCTTAACTGTATCGGACCTCAAAAGAAAGGCAGGGAAGAGTTGCTGCCGAAACAAACCACGTTGCCCACGATAACACATTTGACGATGTGATGAATGAAAATATCACGCACCTGGATGCCGATGATCTGCTTGACATAGCTGATAATGTTAAATGATAAAATGTTGTTGTATCTCTTTTGTTATTTTGATATTTTATGCCCCCCTTTTTGTATTACCCCTATAATATAAGTCTATTTTGATTACGTTACTAATACATGTCTTTTATTATTTTTACTTTCTTGCAAAGATATGGATGCCAAATATTTTGGAACCGATGACAACATTTGCCTTATCGACAGTGCTACGATTCACAGCATTTTGAAAAATAAATGTTATTTCTCCCACCTGAATATGGGAAAGACCACTATTATTACTATCAGTGGTGCATAAAAAATGATTGAAGGCTCAGGAAAAGCTACTGTATTTCTCCCAAAATGGACAAAAATGGCAATTGAAAATGCCTTGTTCTCGAGCAAAGCTCGAAGGAATTTACTGAGCTTCAATGATATTCGGAAAAATGGGTATCACATTGAAATATTAAATTAGGCAGAAAATGAGTATCTTCTGATTACTCAGATTGTGAATGGCAAAAGAATTGTGAAAGAAAAATTGCGATCATTTTCTTCCGGCTTATATTACTCAAAAATCAGTGCCATTGAAATATATCACCTAGTAGACCAAATGGCTACTAGCGAATTTAAAACTTGGCATGATCGACTTGGGCATCCTGACAATATAATGCTGAGGCGAATTGTTGACAATTCAAATGGCCACTCATTGAAAAAGAAAAATATTTTGAGTCCGAATGAATTTGCTTATGCTGTCTGTTTCCAAGGGAAGTTAATAATCAGACCATTTTCAACAAATGTTGGATTTGAATCCCTAACTTTTCTGGAAAGAATTCAGGGTGATATTTGTGGACCAAAAGATCCACCGTATGGACCCTTCAAGTATTTTATGGTACTAATTGACGCGTCAACGCGATGGTCACACGTATGTCTGTTATCTACTCGCAATCTAGCTTTTACTAAACTACTTGCACAAATAATTAAATTGCGAGCACAATTTCCAGATTACCCGATAAAGAAAATACGTCTAGTTAATGCTGGAGAGTATTCATCACATACATTTGATGATTACTGCATGTCAATTGGGATTACTGTGGAACATCTTGTTCCCCATGTACATACGTAAAATGGTCTCGCTGAATCCATTATCAAAAGATTGCAATTAATTGCCAGACCATTATTAATGAGGTCTAAACTTCCCGTATCATGTTGGGGACATGCTATATTGCATGCAGCAGCCCTCGTGAAAATAAGGCCGACCAGTTATCATTGTTATTCCCCCACTCAATTGGTTTCTGAAAAAATACCAAATATATCTCACCTGCGAATATTTGGATGTGCTGTTTATGTTCCAATTGCGCCACCTCAACGCACAAAAATGGGACCTCAAAGAAGGTTGGGTATATATGTCGGGTATGAATCACCCTCGAT